GGGTTTTATTTTCTTTCCCTCTTATAGAACTATATGTATACTAAAACTTAGATTAAACTCTTATAGTACTTAGTATAGGTATTTAATAGAGGAAGATGTTACTACTACTACTACTACTATACCTAAACTAATTAAATATAAGCTATAACTAGTAGTAATAGTTATATTAACTATTAAATTAACAGCTGTTTTAGCGGCCTTTTCAGCTAACTTATACCTACTAAGAGTACTATTAAAAGCGTTAGTTAAGCTCTAGTACAAACAGATAAGGTACTTACGTATAAAGGTAATCTAACGCCTAGCTACTAGTACTAAAAGAGTTAAGTTAGTACCTAAGGATTAGTACCTAATCTTACTATATAAGGTTTACTATCTAGTAAACACTAAACAGATTATATCTAGAGCTCTTATTAGGCAAGTAGACAAACTGTTTACTAGGATCTACCTAAATCTTATTTAAATATACCTAATAGACTTTAAAGAAGTATATATCCTTTACTTTCTTAATAATCTTACTAGAATAAGCTTTATATATATCCTTATAACTAAATAAGGCTCTTTAGCTACTATATAACACTTTGTTTCCTTAATTAAAAGACACTTTAACGCTAAAGTCTACTAGATTAAGCTTAATAAAAAAACGTCTCTTAGAAGGGATTTTAATAATTAGGTAAAAGTAAAAGGCTTTATTATTAAACAATTAGTACTATGTATAGTAGCCTAAAATAGGCTAATTAAAAGATCTAGAAGAGTACTCTTTAGTAGAGTAAGAGTACTAAAAATAAGATCTAACTTACTATTAAAGCTATAGCCTAAACTAATAAAAACAGCTAGATACTTAGTAAACAGATCTCTTATTACCTCTTTAGGCTAGAAAACACTATATAAGTGTCTTTACTACTTTAAACTAAACCTCTCTTACCTTTATGCCTTTAGCTATAAAGCCTACGCCTTAATTAAAAATATAGTACGCCTAGATAAGCTAGAACTAAGAGCTTTTATTAGATACCTAGTAAGATATAACTCTACTAATATATTTAAGGTCTAGATTCTAGCTAGAAACAAGGTAATATTAGCTAGAGATATTACATTTAATAAATCCTAAAGGTATTAGCCTTAAGATAAACAAGACGCTACTAAAGAAGTAATTAAAGCTATTAAAATACTAGTAATTAGTAAATATAACTAGTAAATTAAAGAAGAAGACGATCTCTTTAATCTTATTAAAAAAGGAACGTTACCTAACCTACTAGCTATAGAACTAACACATTTAATAAATCCTGTCTAAACAATAATAACAACAACTTCTTTAACAACAACTAATACTATTACTAAAACTACGGATTCTACTAATAATCCTGTCAACAATCCTGTTACTAATCCTCTCTTAACACTAAGAGCGTTACCTGTTCTAACTACTCTTCTTATATATACAAATCCTTCTCTAAACGTCGACTTATCTAAAACTATAACTAGAGATATTAATAAGGCTATAAATAAGGATATAAATAAGGCTATAACTAGAGTAGACTAAGAGACAACTATTACTAATAGAGTAGAGCTAGAGGATAAAACATAAGGACCTAAACTAAGGAACTAATACTATAAGCGTAGCTCTAATTCTACTAGCTTAAATCTAGTAAATATCCTTTTAATAAGAATATAGAATCAATAAGACAGGTATAAAGCCTATACTATCTAAATAAGGTAAATTAAAGCCTATAGTAGGTTTTATACTACCTTTTAAGTAAGAACAGAATATACTAAAAGGAGGATCTATAAGACTAAACTTTTACCTACTCTTAAACACTAGAAGAAGGTTTAAACTTATCTATATTAAGATAAGTTTATAGTAGCGGCATTAAAAGAATATAAGGATCTTACTAGGTATAAGACCTTTAAGACTATACTTAAGAGTATATCTAAAGTAAATATAATCCTTGTCTAGTAAGTATTTATATATAAATTTAATATAGACGGCTTTCTTAATAAATTTAAGGCTAGACTTATAGTTAGAGGTAATCTCTAACATCTTACTAACTAGAATAACTATACTACTACTCTAGTGTTACAGGTTTTTAGAGGCTTAATAGTAATAGCCTATTACTTTAATCTAGAGATCTACTAGCTTAACGCTATAAATGCCTTTACTAATAGTAATATAAACAAGACTATCTATATTAAACATCCTAAGGGTTTTAATAACCTAAAGTATGTTCTCTTCTTTCTTAAAGCTCTTTATAGGCTACGCTATTTCCCTTTCTTATAGTATACTTACTTTACTAAAACACTAGCTAAGCTTAGCCTATATCTAGTTCTAGAGGCTAAGTATCTTTATATAAATAAATACCTTATTGTCTTCTTTTATATAGATAATATTACTATCTTAGTAAAGAAGGAATATTAATAATACCTTTAAACCTTTAAATAGAGCCTGTTTAGTACTTATAAGATACGTAATATAAGAGAATTAAAGTAGTTCTTAGGTATCTAAGTAACTAGAGACAGAACTACTAGATAGATATAGTTAAGTTAAGACTCTTATATTAAGTTAATTACTTTAACTTTCTACTTAAGAGTAAAAGGAAAGAACGTTCCTTTAATACTTATATTAACTATAGAGTTAGTCCTAAACCCTAGCCAGGCCTTTTCTTAAGAGATCTATAGCTACTAGAGGAAAGTAGGCTTAATTCTTTATATAACTATTATTATAAGACCTAACGCTATTAGAGTAGCTAACAAGCTCTCTAAGTTTCTTTTAAACCCTTTCTCTAATTATCTACATACTATAAAAAGAGTTATTTAATACCTTTATAGAACCTAGTTTCTTAAGATCTAATTTAAAGGTAGTAATAGATTAGAATAGGCGTTCTCTTACACTAGTAATATAGCGTATACTAACGACTTAAAAACTAGAAGAAGTACTAAAGGATATGTATTTTACTTATTTAAAAGGCTAATTAATTAGAAATCCTCTAAACAAAAGATAGTTACTATATTAAGTATAAAGGCTAAGCTTTTAGCCCTGTCTTACGCTACTAAGGATCTCTACTAGTAGAGACGCCTCTTTACTAAGATCTTATTAAAATTATATAAGGAGTTTACTATTAATATAGATAATGCCTAAACTATCTGCCTTATATAATTAAGAACTTTACGCCTAGTTACTAAGCTTAAGTATATAGATATCTATTAACACTAGCTATACTAAGAGGTAACTAAAGAGAGACTTAGTCTATAGTAGCTATTAACCTATAACATACTAGTAGATAGGTTAACTAAGGCCTTACTATACTAGAAACATATCGAATTTATTAAATTACTTAATCTAGTAGATATTAAGACCTTAAACCTAAACGACAGTTAGCCTATAGATTAGGGTAGTTAAATACCCTTTATTTTAGTAAGAAACCCTTTTGTATAACTACTAAACACCTAAGACTAGCTTTTACGCTAGTTTAAAAGTAATTCTTACTTAAACGATTAAGTAAGACCTGTTCTAGGATCTAGTTCTTATCTTAAGCTTAATTTCTTATTTAGAAAGTCTACTTTTTTACGTTATATTTCTTATTTAAGAAGTCTACTCCTTATTCTTAGAGATTTAACTATTTCTATAGTTATATTCTTTAGGTCTATTTATTTCTACTACTTACTCGACCTTATTACTTAACATGTCTCGCTACTTAGAGTACTAAGAGTCCTTAAGGTTCTTCTTTAAAGAGCTTTAAGACTTAAACGTTAAGCCTCTCTTAATTAAGTACCTACTATTATATACTTTCCTTAATTCTTTAACCTTTTACTTACGAAGAGAGCTGTACTAGTAAGTACTAGTATACCTTTAGGTATAGGAATAGCTTTATTATTACTTGATTAAAGAGATAGCTAAGGAGAGAGCCGTACTAGTACTTAGCTCTCTAGTCAAGTCTAGAATTAGCTTGATCCCTAAGAGGGTATGTTAAATAGTAGGATTAATTACCGGGTTACAAAACACTTTCCCCTAATTACTAACTAATCCTTAATTAATATACAAGGATCGATCCCTTATACCTTGTTTTTAATAGTTTATAGTGTTATTAGGATTTAGGTACTTAAGTACCTACATACCCTGTTTATAGCGGATATAGCGCCTATACATGTAAATAGCAACCCCTTTTTTAAGTATATAGAGTAGGGGACTACTCTCTGTTCTATTTAATTTAATTTAATTTAATCTACTTGTTACACTACTAAAAAACACCTAAATTCGCCTGTTATATCCTCCCTTTATACTGTGATATAACCTTAATTATTTGACAATTCTCCACTAGGAACTTTTGACACAAGGGCCAAGGCGTCGACGGGCCGGTCTTCGCCAATGATAAGTCTCCTGCAAATAGAGACGCGCGCGAGCCGAAAGCGAAGGACCCGTCCCAGTGCCACTATGTTGGTGTTGGTGGCTATTATTTATTTGATGTGCATCGATCGTTGAGGATCCTGGATGCCAGATGCCAGGCGAAGGCGTAGTCCAACGACGGCCCTCGCTTAACGGCAATGTATGGGGATTGGCGGGTCACGTGGTCGAATCCTTCCGTGGGATGGGCGAGCCTGCCGTGTCCGCCATTCCACACATCGACCATAGCTCCAGCACGTTTTTCTCCACGGTCACCACTCTGAGGCTTCCTAATGCAATCCCAGTCGGATGAATCTTGACAACCTCTCCCTTCTGTGTATTTTTGTGTACTCTTTATATAAAAAAAATTCACGTAGGATTCGCCCCCTCAGCCTCCTTGATCCCCTATCCTAATTGTCAGGAGTCAAGATGGACAGTCCAGCACAAGATGGCTCTATATATGATGGCAAGATGCTATCGAGATCTTTCTCCGCAATTGTTTTTTCCACGCCTATTCCAGGCTTTCCTCCTTTCTCGACATTTCTATGTTTCCTTTTGCCTCTCCTTAGATTAGAGCTTTCGATTTTTCCGGACACTCCTTCTATATCACTCGTGCATTGCTGTTTTCAGCATGCATTTCAAGTCTCTCCTTCTCCTAAGTGCGCTCTGGTCACTCACCGCAGAGGCAGCGCCTAGTCCTGCCCTCACTACTTCTCCAACTGCCTCGACCGGGCATTCATCTCCCTCCCCGCTTTCCTTTAAGACCGCCTTCAATAACGGAACGGCCACTTCGCATGCTACAGCCAGCCCGACTATCACCGGGTCACCGTTAATATTACACAAGGGCAATGATACGTTCGGAAATGAAAAAGCTGTTGGTCCTGGAGGCAATGAGCCCGTCCTCTTCAGCGCCTCTGGAACTTGGTTGTCCGTCCATTGCGACAATCCTGCCTTGACAGACGCCTCCACACCAGCAATTACACAATGGGCTGCGGCGGGCGCAAGTGGTATGTTCTCAACCTTAAACCGCGCTCTCTATATTGGATGCTGACATGAGTAGATGCTTGGAAGCAGTTGCTGGACGCCTGGAATGGGCCTCAACCCTCCGGCAACGTCCATCTGGCTTTTGCACCCTACGTCTATAATCAGTTCCACTATCAAGTAGATGCCAATTGCGCAGATGTTCAAAATGGCGTATGCGATTCAACCGTGCAATGCGGGCCGACCCCTCCAGCTGGAAGTCTCATCATTAACTCGCTTGTGGGCATTCACAATGTATGTTGCAATTACCCTATCACTCTGTATCCTAAATAAACTGTGCTGCTTGGCTAACAGAAGTCAGATTATCAAAGAGACCAACGCCGCCATCGCTCAGGTCAGCTCAAATATGGCAAACACCATGACGGACTTTGCCGCAGTATTTGCCAAGTTCCCTGATCAAAAGGGCGAAATGATCCTCAAAGAAATTCTCGACGCTCTTACATTTGTCATCGGGATTGGATCAGCCTTTATATGGAACGATTGTATGTACTTGCAACCAAGCGTTATTCTGAATAAAGCTAACCTTGACGCCTTAGTTATTAAAACAGCAGGACTCTTCGCTAGTGAGCATCTAAATATGCTTTGCATCTCTAACTGCCTCAGTGACTGACTATTGATAGACGACAATTACCGTGGAGTTTGGAAAGATATTGCCAATGGTGCTATTGCTTACGGTATCAATAGTGGCAAGGATTCTTTGTCGGCGTAAGTAATGGCTTTCAACTGGTGGAAGGGTGCGGGTGCTGACCAATCCATTGCAGTCCTACAAATCCATACGAAGAATCGCAGACTTTGTCTGATATTCTCAGTCGCTGGACAGCCGGACTTGAGGCAACTCAAGCTGGTTGGCTCGCAACAACTCTAGCTGGCAACACGAGCGACAGTCAGAGCAACATGACCGCTATGCTTGAAAACGGTGGTATCCTTGCTGCTGTACAGGCCACAAATGGAGACCAATGGAATGACCTACAGCAAGCTGCTTCCGCAATGTTATACGGGAAGATGATTCCATCAGCGTAAGCAATCGGCCCCGCTTGTTACGTCTGATCCAAGATACTAATTCGCTTCTAATCTAGATGGAAGATCTCCCAAAATAAACAACGTCCATTTATTCTGTAAGTGCAACGTCCAGGAGAGATGCCCGCAATCTGACTTCCTTTAGCCGTGTCGATCGGAGCCAATACACCTGCGGATCCCCCATTTCCTACGATTCGACCGCTAAAGGACTCAACCTGGGTAACTACATGACCAATGATGTAGCCAATAAAACCCATTGGTGTGACCCAGAGTAAGTATATACAGAGTCCATGCCGTTCTAGACTTGTTCCTTCTGCACCTCAAGTTCTCAACTCTTGCAAGCGTTGTGAGCTTTTCTCCTCTCAGCCAGACCTCATCTTCCCCTCCAGTCGGAAATGGCTGGGAGCTATCCATACCTTTGTATCGAAAGTTCCTACCATTATTGAGTCTGGGGACCTTACAACAACCATCACTGACGCCTATTCTTCTATAGTGGGAACACCTTCTTTCTTCTCAACGCTATTGACACAGTGTTGGATTGCAACGACAATGGATGTTTGCCCATGGGGACAATGCCGTTTGGAGCACTGGATGGCGGAACTAATGACGTGCTGACCGGCGATCCTACCGTCTGGGGAGGTATAACTATTGGGTGAGATCTACTCCTTCAAGTCGATAATTTCACTCATTAATTACCAAATTTAAAGGGACATCGTTCAAAGCTCTTACGCCGGGTTCGTCGTAAACGGGAACAAAAACAATTATGTAAGTCTGCGGATATTGTGTTCCTACTCGGACTCTAATAAGCCGGTTATTAGACTATGCCTCTAGATTCAAACCTTATAACGAATCCCCACTTCAATATAACCAAAGGCGAACTGCCATTACAAGGCAGTATCTTGACACCGGGTACGCAATTTTTACCTCTCCAACCCTATCTCATGGCGGCTTCTTAGCTGTTCCTAGCCTTCTAATTCTCTTTGATGCCAAAATAAATGGGCATATCCCCATAGAATCTAACACAACACTAACAAAATGACAGGCTTTTTCAACTTGACCATTTGTCTCTCTGCCGAACTTGCAGGCCGGGGAATTTCTTCTTCATCCGGGTCAGAACCTCCCTGTGGCAATGACGTCCAGACTGGACCTAGCGTCGTCGTGAGCCCTCCAACTAATTCTCAAGGCTACGCCCCGGGTAGATGTGGCCTGCACGTAGAGCAGTGGCAAAGGAACGAAGGAGATGAGAATCCTACTCCGGATTACCAACTTGCTGTTACAATCAAAGATGGTGCGAATATCGTTATTGGCAGCGCTACAAAGCAAATTGCTACCCATCCGTTAGCTGTAGACAGCAAACTCCCCTTCGATGTCATCGTCAAAGAAGGCAATGCCGATAACGACCCTATCCAGTTCTGGTATGCAGACCAGTACTGGGACAGCAACTCCAAGGCTTGCTCGATGGGCAAGTACGACAGCGGCAACCGCAATGGTGACTGTTCATTCAACTGCCCCAACCCATCAGGGTCCGCTCCCCCCGCCTCCGCCACCGTTGCTCTCCCCACTGGCATTATCCCCGCCGCCAATAGTCAGGCTGCGCTCACTACTGCCACCGGAACTGCCAGTTCATCCACAGCCAAGCCAACAGAGACTCATGCACCCGGCTGGTGCGGGGTCCACGTGCGCCAATACCAGAAGAACGAGAAGGGCGAGAACCCCAGCAACGACTACGCCGTCGAGATCACGCTCTACGACGCCAAGAAGAACACCGTCGGTACCTCTGGCTTCCAGGACGCACCGGCCAACAAACCGGTCCCGGTGACGAACAGCATCCTGCCGAATCCCTTCACCGTCACGGCCCAGTCAGTGGATAGCGATCCGTTGCTCTTTGCTTATGGCTCCACGACCTGGAACAGCACAGGCTGCAAGGTCGGCAAGTACGATAGCGGACACCGGGATATGGATTGCGGATTTACGTGTTAGACATATATCATATATGTATTGTATGTATGTACGCATTGCGGATTTGAGCGTTGAGAATTCAAGCATTGTTTGGTTTTGAGCGTTGTGCCTCTTTCTGTTTTTCGTCTGTATGTTATCCTTTCAGGTTTGATTTTTGGCATTTGGCTTCTAGATTTAGATATCAAGCATATGCGTTGCGTGTCTACGTGTTATATACCTATCTATCTACCTAGGTAGATTATAGAATCAGGCGTTCAGGGTTACAAATTGTGCGTTCAAGTGATAGGTAGATATTGACATTTTAAAAGTTTGTATTGAGATAGTCCAGCCTGAAGAACATTGTGCATAGCCAAGGGAGTTAATTCAGCTAGCTGTATAGTCCTATCTACATGTCTACATAGGTACGCACGTTGCTAGGTAAACTGACTATTAGATAAGGTAGATAAATACCTACCTTCCTTACCTGCTGAGTGTTTTGAAAGGTGCAATGCAAAGTTATTACTTTTACTTAATTTATTATGAAATTACAGTACTGTATTGTGTTGTCAAACTTAATTCGTAATTTCCAGGGTATCATAAAATCTGACCCAATTCCCAGCCTCCACTAACCAACCTATGCATGAAGAACAAAAGAAACCCAATAGTAGAGAAAAAAAAAGAAAAGAGTGTGTATGTGTTCAATCTACCCCCTTATCGCTTATATGTCCCTTTTCTCATGAACATCATATTTCAAATCAACCCAATCCACCTTCCATCAATATCTCTCTAAGAGCATCTCGATCCACGACTTCTGGCGTGACTTTACTCGGAGGTTTGTCTGTCTTCTTCACGAACCCTGGGATGGGTCCGTTCTGGTTGATTCCTGGCGGACGAGCTAAATGTGATTTGAGCGGGTCGATAGGTGTACTGGAAATTCGCTGCGGGGGAGGTCGTAGTGGCCCGGGGGAGGATCGGAGATCGCTGGTGGATTTGGCAGGCGTCATACCCCAGCGCCCAAAGACCCAGCCGCCGACTTTCTTTCCGATGCCGCCCTCGTTGGAGTGGGAGGATGAGATGGAGCGGACGTCGCTGTTGCTACTGCTGGTTCCTATGCTGGAGCGCAGGTAGGCGCTGCTGTTTAGAGTTTGGCGAGAAAGCGTGGGAAGGGCGGTGACCATTGATGAGCTGGTCAGGGTATCTACTGAAGACATGGATGTTGTTGGGGTTCCGACTCTAGAACGTGGTTGCAGGCCGCGTCCCGTGATGGTCATTTGCGAAGGTCGCATTTTGAGAGTATGGATATCGATGCCTGAGATAGAGAGGATGGATTCATGTGACGTTGAGCGGCGAAGGGAGGGTTGGAAGGGGGTCCATTCTTCCTCAAGAGTTCCAGCGACGAGATCAGATTGGTTTGGGATGTCCGAAGTGGTCAACTCGTCTTCCAGTGACAGCGGCACGGTGGGTGCTTTTAAGTCCTGGACTTCTTCTATATCACCATCCTCTTCTTCGTGGATGACTTGTGGTTGGAAGTTACTGGGGGCCACAAAGCTGCGTGTGGATACTTCTGAGCCACGTTTACGATGGCGGGGAGGTGGGAATTGTGGTGATCCTGGGTCGACACTCGATCCCGGTGACGTTGGCCGTGATGAATCAAGATCGAAGCTTCTATCAAACAATGCGTTATTTCGATACATTGATTGTGGTGAGCTTGGGACTGAGGAGGGCGTGAAATCCGACATCTGAGCAGATTGCGTTGACCAGCGATTGGGCGTAATCGGAGTCGGTATCGTAACAGATGTTTGCGACAATATCGCGCTCGCCGTTTCTTGGCTCCTAACTGGCGTCATTGGACGTGAGACGATCTTAGGTGGTGTTAAGACCGTATTAATAGATGTGCGTTTCTTCTTCGGTCGCCGCACTTCCTCCCTCTTCGGGGCATGATAATGGTGATGTATGTGAAGCGCCGGCGGTAAGGCTTTTGCCTCACGATCCTCTTTAGGAGCAAGCTCTGCTCGCAGCGTCGGAGGGCCATTACCATCTCCCTTGTCCTCAGCCACGGGCTGGTGCATCATCAACTGCTCTCGTAGCGCCTGGACTTCCTCATTTGAGTCCATCAACATCTCACGCAACTCGACGATCCCGAGCTGCAGATTCGCGTTATCTTGCAGAATGTCTTTGACAAAGTGGGAAATAACACTGCTGCCGTTCTTGGTATTGCCAGCGGCCAAGGCTGCAGCTCCCTTGAGTCGTCCAGCAGCTGTATCCAATTCTCTTTCCACATTGCGTTGTCTCTCCATGCGTCCCAGAACCTCGGCATGTCGTTCCCTCTCCTCACGCGCCTCCCGCTCAATCCTTTCCAACTGATCTTGCAAGTCGTAGAGTCTCCTCTCCGCCTGTTTCCATCTCTGTATCGCCGAGCGTTCATCCGCCTCACTCTTCAAAACGGCCCTCTGCAGCGCCTCCTGCTCCTGTTCCAAAGCTGCCAACTGAACCTCCAAATCCTGGGTCCTTGCTGCCAACCCCTCGAGCCTACGGAGCTCCTGGTGCGCTGATTGTAAGGTGGCTTCGAGGGCTTTGATATGCAACTCTGATTCGGAGACCGTGGTATTGAGACCCTCCAACTGATCCAGCAACGCGCGATTCTCAGCGACCGTCTTCGCGTTTCGGGCTTCCAATTCCCTCCTGTCGGCCTCGAGTTTCTCAATCCTGCCATTCATCTCTGACCGGTCGCGTTCGGCATCGACCATATACGCCTCATGGCGAACGAGGAGAGCCTGGAGGGAAAAAGTCAGTCCTCTGAACATATTATACGAAGCTTTAGCTGCCACGAGGTTGCCCATCCACCTTGCAAGCAGAAGGTTACAATCTCAGGACAACCAAATTCTGCACCACCATAGTCACCTCGCAAGATGGGGCAGGGGGAGAACAAAGAGAACAAGCATTTACATACTTGGCCCAACTGCGCCGCTGTTCGCACCTCTTGCTCCAGATCATCAAGGGCCGAACAGTTGTGCTTCAGATACGCACAATCTGCGCGTCCGCAGCAACAGCGGAGATTTGGGGTCGTCGTCGAGGGGGGACGTTCAGGGATACGCCCGATCAAGGCCTCGAGGTCATCGGTCTCCGCCATGCCAGGTTAGACGCGTCGTTAAGCCCGTGGTATTGAACACAAAGTAAAGGTTCGGTCGCGTCGTACGTGTAGCATACTTGCGAGTGTAAGCGCAAGGAGAACAGCGGTCGTATTTTTTTTCGTAGTTGTCGGTGTGGATATTGACTGAGTTGCTGTCGATCTGTGAGGTGGTTGGGGGATACTCGGGAAGGTCACGATGCGGCCCGAGCCTGTCGAACCCAAAACAGAGCCGCAGCGATGATTGGTCACCTGAACCCCGCGGGATCCTCACCTGTATAATGCAATAATACGTGTAAAAACTTTAAACCACTGTAAGACATTGGTGATGTTCCCGTGGGCCTCAAAACTACAAGAATAACACATAACCAGTCACAATCCCAAGCATCCTGTATGACGGGTACGACAAGTCTGAAAGCATAAGTTTTGGTTTTTCGTTTCAAGTCCATTATTGCCTTGTATGTCATGTCATATCCAGCTCCCTTAGATGGTGATCTCAGCTGGAACACTGATCTGCAGGATATCAACATCCTTCTGTAACTCGCTCTTCGTGGGCATCTTCCCTCTCCTCATCAGCTCCGAAGCCTGCACCATGACGGGATCCATCTGCATGGTGGCAACTGCAACTACTGTCTCGCCCTTCGTGTAATACGCCACAAATTTACCCTCCTCGGGCTGACCCTTCAAGACGAGATCATCCCATCCGTTTGGCGTATTTCCGCAGTAACGGAGTTGTGCACCCAATGCAGACCAGAAGATTGGCATGAAGGCTTTAGGCTTGGTGGAAGCGTTGGCAATTTGTGCAGCTACAGCTCGGCCTGCGTTCTGTGCAACGTTCCAATGTTCGATGCGTGTAAGGGCGCCATCGCCTCCTGGGCCATGGTATGGGTATGTTGCAATATCACCGATCGCATAGACATCCTTCAGTCCCGAGACTGCGAAGTACTCATCGGTCTTCAATGATCCGTCCTTCTGAAGCTCAACGGCCTTGTTGCCCTCCAGGAAAGTGGTGGCTGGACTGACGCCGACACCTAGAACAACTAAATCGGCTGGAAGGCTTGTGCCATCCTTCAGTTCGATGGAGCCAACCTTGGATGGGTCGGATTTGGAGGGGCTAGCCTTTTCGACACCTGCACTCATCTTGAACTTGACGCCGTTCTTCTCAAGGTTCTTTTGAAAGATCGCGCCAACTTGCGCGCCCATAATCCGTTCTAATGGTCTGCTCTCCATACCGACGACGGTGACATCGTTGTCTTTTGCTACCGCGTTCGCAACCTCCATGCCGATAAAAGAGCTTCCAATGATCACGATCTTCTTATTCTTTTGGCCGATCGCAGCGTTGATAGCCTTGACATGAGGAACAGTCCGGAGAGGGAAGATATTACCTAGCTCCTTGAAGCCCGGTAGCGGGAGGTTTTTAGGACTCCCACCCGTTGCCAAAACCAACTTTGTGTAAGGGTATGAGCTGCCACCCTTGGTGGAAACCTTCTTTCCTGAGAAATCGACACCTGTGACCACGTCTTCGATAATATCAATCGAGCCATCTTTGAACCAGGCTTGATCTCTGATAGCAATTTTGGCTGGATCATCAATGAGGGCCTTTGATAGCTTGGTCCGATCAATTGGCAGATATCCTTCACTGCCAATCACGGTGATTGAGCCCTTGAACCCATTCTCCCGGAGTGTTTCCAAGGTACCCAACGTACCGCTTCCACCACCAACAATGACCACCTTCTCTGCTCCTACACCTCCCGAGATCTTGATGTTGGGCTTCCTTCGGCTACCTTTAATGCTCTGTTGCTCGCCCGTCACGTAAATCGCGCCGTTCTTTTCGGAAAGCTTGAAAGATGGGAGAGCATCAAGAGCTGGGGCGTTCTCGATATCTCCGTTTGATGCATTGAAGCAAGCTGCGCCGAGCATCAGTCTCTATTAACAGCTGCAAGGATTGTTTCTAAACGAACCTCCATGCCATGGACAGGTCAAGCGGCCTTCACCGGTCAGAACACCCTTCACCAGAGGAGCTCCGTAATGGGTACACCTGCTTCCCAGAGCTGTGACCTTTCCCCCCACATTACACAACAATACCTTCCCCTCTTCGATACCCTCGACCTCGACCTCGCGTTTCTCACCAGGCTTGAGGTCAAGGCTACTGATGCCTTTCAGCTTATATTCCTGAGCCATAATTCTCGACGTCGTGGTAAATGATGCTTTGGTTATTCGATTGCGGGGTGAGCAGCGGATGATATCTGGATGAACGAATTGCCTCAGCCCAAAGCTTGATCTGATGAGAAATCGTGGGGAGGACATGTGTTAAAGAATAAAGAAAGTAGTGTGACAGTGGGGGTGAAGCAAGAGGCTAAAATAACAAAAGCAAACAAATCTTATGTACGTGTGAGGGGTGATGCATACGATTGAGCATCCGGGAGGCCTCTATTGGGTGTGCTGGTAATTAGGAGCCTCTCATTGGTCAACGGGGGAGGGCGTGTGTGTTGTCGTCATTCCTTCTCCACTCTAGCTTCGAGCTCATGTCTTATCGATAAGACCGCGCACGGACTTGTGGCACTAAGCCAAATCTGTATGTACTCGGAAAACTTGCTTTCCGCTCGTCTCGACTCGACACCAACGCCGAAACCAAACAACATCTCAAGAAGTTCGAAGAACGTCTATATCCAACCTTCTTCCAGTAAACAACCATTATCGTTTGATGTGTTTTTCTCAATCCGTACCGGTGTAGTTCCAGGTCCTCGAATAATAAGTATTGTTCCAGTTGTAGAATGCGCATGGCAAATCCATCTCAGACTTTGTTAAATACCTGGTCAACGACTCGACGCATTATACAATTCTTGAACTCTGCTCTATTTTTTTATTCATTTGCTGCCATGACTGTCAGTTTGCTTTCATGTGATGCGTGAACTCCGACATCAGCATCAAAAGTCAAGTTCAAAGTCAGTTACAAACTACGATCTTCACGAGATATCTCTTAGATATCAGTTCCATTGGTCACTAAAGTAGCTATACTGAGCACTCTGTGACAAAAAGATTCACACAATCTTTGATCAGTGATCCTTAACGCTCGGCTAGAAAGTAATAATCCGCCTCTAGCCCCGGCTGAACACACCACTTCCAACCAACTCGCCCAAAATCTCCTCCAAACTCCCCACTCCCCCTTGAATAGCCCCCTCCTGCACCCCCGTCCCATTCTGCCAGGCCATCTCAAACTCACTCAACCTCTGGTTCAACACAGTCGTATTATAACTCCCCACATCCGTCTCCTCAAGATAGCTGATGAAGATTTTCCACCGAGGCAAGTAATACCCACCAACAAGCCCGCCCCAGCTCTTGCTCGCATAATCGCTGATTTCACCATCGGGGCCCCAGAGCGTGATTTGGTTCCTAGCATCGTACTCGTAGAAATCTGACAGAGTGGTGTTGGTGCTGAAGGAACGGGCGGCGGTGAGTCGAGTCGAGAGAGAGAAAGAGGGGTTGGTTAGAAGAACGGCATCGAGCGTGTGCATGAGATTGGTGAGTTTCTTTCCTGCTGCGGCGATGGTGGTGTTGGAGTGTGGTGAATTATAGGCGCCTATGAGTTCCTCATATGCGGATTGGAAGGCGTTACTGTAGACTTGGCGCGTGATGTCGACCATATCATACTGGTAGGCTTGGTTTTGCCATAATGCAGGATTGATCTGGGCTGCGGAGAACATAGTGTAGAAGACGGACAAGAGCATTGCTGGGTCGTAGTTTATTGTCGTCAAAATTTGGCCTGTTAAACCTGTTATATTTGGGGACAGTTCCATGATGGATCGCGTGACTGCAACTGCGCTGCTGAGGTTCGTATTGTTGTAGACAGTTGAACGCATGGTTTCCCAACCTGAGTAGAGTTGCTCAGGTACGTTACCACTTCCAGCATATCGACGGGTGACCCAGTTGTGAAAGTAAGTCTCAGTGTCGACGGGAGATCCAGACCAGGCTTGATCGAGGAGTAAGTCGTACATTATCTCATTACCCTCTTGGCCCTCCATCGTCAATCCAAAGCCTACCAGCGACGTAGAATTTGCCAGTGCCTCGATAGGATTGATCGTCACATTCATGATCTGGCCATATAAGCCCATACTCTGTCCATAATCGTGAAGCTGACACCAAATCCATGGCTTCCCAAAGTACGAGTTTGTGCGTTGCCACTGAGGATATGATTCCGAGAAGAGATCTAAGATCAACATATCTCCGTTCTCTGGAACACCGCCTAGATAAGCTTCAATGCGTTCGCCAGTCCAGAATTCCTCTTGGTCGTAGAACAACCAGCCTTGCATCAGCCAAATAGCTTCTGGATCTGCGGCTTTAAGACTTTTCCATGTGTTGTAAGACACATTCTTCAAGTAGTCCAGGTCACCTGAGTATGGATGGTTCTCATTGTACTGATCAAGTGTGTAAATGTGCGTAATGTTTCCATATGCTGCCGCTTGCTTAGAGATAAAGCTCTTCTGCAGTTCAGTAAACGCAGGATCCACAGGCTCCAGAAAGGTGACGTTGGTATAATCGACAGGAAATCCGTCCCATTGAGAACCATTCACTACCATTGCATCGGGTAGAACGCGAGTGATAGCTCTTGGGACAAAGCCGGTGATGCAGGGGAGCACAGGGGTCATTCCCAGCTCCACCATGCGAGCAGTGATGTTCTTTTGCAGTTCGAATTGTCCATCAATCCACTCCATGGGTAATTCGCCTCCCCATGATCCTTGAATATTCCCGAAACGGTTCCAGGCTTGGAATGCGGGGCCACTGAAATAGGGGAGGATTTCAGCATCGGTCATACCAAGTTCTTGAAGAGTCTCTACGAGAATCTTCTCGTATCCAACCCAAGCCAGGGGAAGATTTACGCCCCGAAGGGCTAGCCAGTCAAGTTCCAATTCCCAATCCTCCCAAGTCCAGAATGCGGCAGTATATGAGAACGTGACTATGATCGTTCATTAATTGATGACGGCAATGTGTAAGGATCCAAACATACCAGTATTGAAATGGTATCGCCATGGCACGATGCTTGAGCCATTAATAGGGACATCCAGAGGCGGTAAATGCAACGGAGCAAGATCTAGACGGCTCCCAATATACCAGAAGATATCAACATGTACCGTATCGGTTAAATACCGGTGTAATCTACCATTTTCTTGAGCCCAATTCCTGAAATCAACGTTCCTGGGAGCTCACCCGCTCGCCAAAGCAATCAGCGAATTTCCTTCCACCAAAATCTTGCCATCTGACGTCGAAGAGACGCTGTACTCGTCATTTGTGGCATTTATCGCTGAAGGAAGTAGACCGGTACTATTTCCGAGAAGGTGAAATTCAAAATCATTGACATGGTTTGGCAGTCGTCTTTTCACGAGATTGAGAATACCATCCGTGGACTGTGCCGCGACAACGACGAACGCTGAGACAGTCCATAATAGTGACCTTGATAGATACATTGTGGATTGTCATCGACTCATCTATATCGAACACAATGAGAGAGACCGCGTAACTTTGTCGGGGCCTTCCATCGTTGTAGCTTTGTACTCCGAGCCCGGTATGCATGAACCACGCCGCCACGGTGCATGCGTTTCCGTTGGCATGGCAGAAGAATACAGTCCATCTCATTAATTACATGCAACGTTGCTAACAGGCCATGGAGCTGATCGTCGGCTCGCTTACAATTGTCAACAGGGGGAGGACGACTGTATTTACGTACTGTTGAACGCTTAAAGCGAATAGCTTAACCGTGAGGGGTCAATCCGAACTACATACAGTACAGCATCAGCGTATCACCTACATGATCTTGTCTACCTTGACCAATTCAAGACTAAGGCATAATCTATTTAAAAAGTCGGATAATTTTACATGACATAGTTTCGCTTTTATCAGTCCTGTTTCCATCAGTATATGAACATTTGAAGCTAGAGAAACTCACGAAGCGAAACTCGACCCCGGTCCCTGACCGCTGCAGGAAGGATACCTTTTGATTTCTTCTTTCTGAAGACATAAGAGCTGTAAAAGTTTCAAGTAACAGTCGCATTATACGTGTCCAAATTCTCTAAGCGTAGGGATACTAACTCTAAAAGGTAGATAGAAATCTTGGAAGAGGCAAACCGCTCCTGATCCCCACGTTGGCTAAGCGAAAACCCCTGAAATAGCCTGCTGAACTGTTAGGAGCTGCAGGCCGCAGTACTCCGTGATTTCTTGATACCATCCAAGCTTTTATTATCTTCACCGAAACGCTACATAGAAATAAGCAAATATCTCGAAAGAATTTTGCCCATTCGAATCTGACGTCAAAACCTGGTAGTCGACTATACTTTGAGTCTTGACGTCGGGAATGGTTCCTGACAAGTGGGTTAGTCACCTGTAGACTTGTGATACCTAGCCATTTATACGTCAGTTGCATGGTAGATAGGTATTTGGGATGGATCGCTCTTCTCGTGAACCCTGAAATGGCCTTGATAATTGTGAATATTAACAGATTTTGGAATACCGGATTCTCCACCGAACCGCGCAGACTTAGTTGACCTCGACGTTTCTCTCCTTGCAATACTTCTCCACCTCCTTCTTCAATGTCTCTCCCTGCACGTACAACAGATCCATAACCTCCTCGCATTCTCGGCCCAGTGTCTTACCACTTCCCTCCCAAACATCAGCCATTGCCTGCATGACAGCCTGCAGTTGATTCGGCAGCCACGTCACGATCGGGCTTCCACCCGTAGCTGTCGGATGGCTCGTCTTCTTGAGAATGTACTCTCGAGTGAAGCACCAATGTCTCCATCTGAAATCGCGAACCTGGTTAAGGGCTAGCAAGTACAGTGCTGCTGAAGACGGTTCTTGCAGAGCGTATGATTTCAGAGATAGGTGAGTAGCGCGCGCGTTGACGTATTCGAGGAATTCTCGGTGGTTCCCTGGACGGTAGGAACGGAAATCTTTGAGGATATTGGTGAGAGGGGTATTTGGCATGTCGATTTGGAGTAGGTTGTCGCAAAGGGGGATCTGCCAAAAATCATGAGCGGTTTGATTCATACGGGAAAGTTTATGAAGGGACGTACCATGCTATCATTGGCCCCAGACTCGCCGCGGAAAGACATGGGCTCTTCGGAGACACCTTCGTATACAACTCCATGTGGGAACATAGATTGACTTGTAATTCCAAAAATAAATGTCCGGAAAGATGTGTAATCATTTGGCTTACTCTTTCCCCACATACCTCTCACGCGTCAATTTCAGGCGTCTATTTGGATAGAGAGAAAGAGAGAGGAGAAGAGGGGAGGGGGGGCGGGTGGGGAAGAACAAAAGGCTTTGACATACGATCCATAACTTTGTTGACTTTAGTCATACTCTCAATGACTTTATTCAAGCCTACATCGAAGGCTTGACGGTCATTGTTTTCACAGGCATCTAGGGCAGACATGACACCATCGACAAGTGGTCCAGAGTTTTGAACCATGTCGACGTGAACGAGAACAAATCCTGCCTCAGATGATTTTGGATCGAGGCCATGCTCGAATGCACGTATGAGTCGCAGATTATCGTATTCAAGGCCACGTGATGGGTCCTCAAGACGATAATTGAACAGGGCGTACGAGCCGGCATACTCCATAAAAGGTTTGAATCCAGCGCTGATGGTGGTCAGCGAGTGAACAATGATATAGAGTGGATAAAACTTACAGCTCAGCACATCTTGATATTGGCAACGAGATGACGGAAGGGAGTGTCTGACGACCGAGACCATAACTCTCTCCTTTCATGAATCGCTCATGACAGGGCTCCAGAAGATAAGCTGAAGCTAGAAAAGAGTAGTCACGATAGAGCGCATTCATAAGAGGGAGGTTGTCTTTGTACTTGTCGATGGCGCTGGTGAGGTCGGGCAGCTCCCTCAGCACAGTTTCGCCGAGTGTACCTGTGGCAAGGAGGCCCGGCGTACCACTCAAAGTCTTGATGGGCATGCGAGTGAGGATTGATTCAAGTTTATCGAACTCTGAAGGAAGTTGGACGATGGGTTCCTGACGAGGCAGGAAACCCCGCGTGGTTGAGACCATGAAGGCTGGGAGCGTTGTGTCATTGGGCCTGGTGTCTCCAAGGACATTAAAGGAGAGTGTAGGGGCAAGGGATCCCATGATGATGATATATTATGAATGTTTAAAGATCTGTTTGATGATGAAGTGTGTATGTGATATCTGGAGATGAAGAGAGACAAAGAAACTCGAGCAGAACTGGGAAATCTTGGGGCTTTTTATCTTTGGCTGGCTGGCCGGAACTCTTCCGGCCTCGATTACGATCAGAAGATCCTTCACATCTTGTGGGATCCACACATCAAATTTTATTGACAAAGTGAAAGTAATCGGACCTTCAAACTATGGGTCATGAGCCCATAGCCACCCGCCATCACAACAATATGTTGTTCGTCAACAAACTCAGGGGCAGAACGAAGAACGAAATGAAGACAAGGGGCAAACATGCTGTAGTCAGAAACGCTTTTTCTTTTGTAAAATCATATACATAGGCTGCGAGGTTCAAGGCCAGGAGAGTATCTATCAGTTGGAGCTTCTATTACCCATATTCGTTCATCTCTGGCCATCGTAGATCAACTTGATCTGGATGCGTTGAGGGTCGATGATACTGTTCGACCTGAGATGATGGAGGCCCGAGAATATCCGCATCAATATGATTGGAGAATTGGCCGGAATTGACCGCGGTGGGACGCCTTTTAGCGAACACTTAGGAGCCCCGATCTTTGACACTGTACTTTACTCTGTATAGCAGGTAGAAAGAAGCCATCATGTGACGAGTTACATCAAGATGGCCCATTGCCTGGCGAGAAGCATGGCTGTAATCTTGTCTGTCCCGGCTTTGGTGCTGTTGGCCTTGGCAACAACGGCGGACGAGGAGGATGATAGAGACGCATATGAACAGCATTCTGAAATCCTGCAATGATGATGGCAAGGGAAATCTCTGAGATGAACTGGAACTGGAGAATGTACCCAGATGCTTTGAGGATGATGTTATCATTCCATAACTAGAAGTTGAAAAGCCCACTCGACTTCACTGGAAGAAGAATAGTTGCACGAGTGCCAAAGAACTCATCTATCTCAACAGGCGGTCACATCCAAGAGCTGTCCCAGATCATCAGCACCTAACGAACTCTGCAAGGTACAGCGTAGTAGAGAAAGATTTTTGCTCCCGTAGAACGGCAACCCTGTCTTAAGGAGTTGTGATTTTCAAGGAATCGGAATGGCGATGTTGAGTGTATAAGCATGCTTCAGAATGAGACCACGAACCTCGCCCTCATAGGTAGAACAATAGATGAAAGCAGGTCGTCTTTAATGGGATGTTGCGTCCGATCGCTCTGCACGTGCATCATGGGATTTTCACGTGATTTGCCGACCCGGTCGAAGCGATCCATCTTTCTTCCTCGCATCTCCATTCTCAATGCCTCCTTTCAAAGCACTACTGACATTCCGGGTGTATCTCTACATGATGCCAGTACTCTAGAACGAGTCCAAGTGATGAGTTCGATCTCAAGTGGGAGAGATGTCATCCGCTGGGCGATGCATCAGTAAGGATTATTTACGTGGCCCCTAATAATCAACGATCCTCGACAACATGCTACTTTACGTTTGTTCAAACCAATCGCAAGAGGCTATAAATTCAATCTGCAGCTCCTCTTCAGCTCCTTACACACCACTTCTCCCGACTCCCAGGGAGGTAGGATGGTCGTGGTACACTCAGCCTTTGCTCTCCCACAGTCCTAAAGTTTCTTGTCTTCTTGAACTGTTTCAACTCTTGTTACTTAGTTTGCTTTTATGATCACACCATCTACTATGTAGTAGCTCCGTCGTACTTGGAAGATTACGATGATTTCAATGCAATCCCTCTTGATTTCACATTATGTGTGTTGATCTCCATTGGATCTGCACGATATGGTGCCAAGAAACAATAAAGGTCTGCCGACAGGAACTAAGGCAGGAATAGCAGTCAGAAAATTGATGTTTGTATTGTCGCTGGTATATTACTATGGTTTTGTACTGTCCATCGACGGAATGCTCGAAAGGGCCAGTCAGCAACATCTGCTTCAGCTATATCTCAAGGATCTAGCTTAGGTGCAATCAAGTGTCGAGCATCTCCTAGGCGCCAGACGGCGGCTGATTATTTCGGACCACAGGCCACAATAGGACCTTCCACGGAGGATCCTACACCATCTGGAATTCTCCTACAGTTAACTAAAAGAGGGGTGCCAACAAGCCCTCGCAGCCCTGATGATCTTTCCGCGCCAGTAGAGATTGACTCCCGAGGTCACCCAATTGTCGCTTCAGACGAAACTTTCGAGTTTCCCAGATCCCAAAGAAATAACAGAATGTCTAGTCGAATTGCTTGGATAATTCACCTTGGTTCTACCAGTATTTATAAGTCCCCTCCGGAGGAAGTCTCAGATCCAACATAACACACAAACAGCCCTCAATTGCTCGAACAAATTTCCCATGCCCTGCAAGATGTTGCCAACGCCCCAGTAATCAACGAAACTCCATTCAACGAAACCGCAAAAAAGAAACCTCAACAAACAGCGCCTCCAAACGGTGCACTCTCCCTCAGATCGGCCACCAAATCATCCACACTATGTAAGTGCCTCCCCAAAAGGGCCTGCTTCTCCTCTGTTGTCCTGGTCGTCTCGCTCTCACTGTCAGCCCTCTTTCTACCAGCGCCAGGATCTATTCGGTTGAAGGCCCCGGCCAATTTACTCGGACTGCGCTGTATTAGCGCTGGTACGGCTTCCGTCGCGTTGGCGGATGGTATGGATGGCGTCTCAGGCATTAGGTAGAAGTAGAGGAATTCCACCAGCTTTAACTTCACATCTCTAGCTGTTTCGCGCGACCTGAAGAGCGATGTGATGGTCAGAAGACCATCGAGGGCCTCGAATGTACGGGTATTCTGAGGAGCGTCGATGAGAGCGCAGACGAGTGTTATTATTGTCGCAGATTGAATTGCAGGGCAGTTGACTGGTTCGAGGAGATCGAGGAGGTGCTAGATTTCCTGTCAGCATCGCATTCGTTCAATATTGGCCTAGAGATAAGGACGGACATTCATGTATAGTTCTCTCGAGAACAAGCTCCGGGACGGTGGATGTAATAGCAATATGCCTTGAATCAAGTCCAGTGTTTGGATAATCAACAAGTCATTCTGGCCGTCATTCGTCTTCCCCAGCAGCCTATCCAAGCAATTGACCAATCGCATCGCAACATTCCACTCAAAACCATCCTGCAGTTTGAAGAACTCCCTGAACGCAGGGTCGTTTCCCAACTCGTCGAGCGCTTTTCGTGGCGGCGGTTCTTTGCCCGGATCAATAGTGCTGCGGCGCCTATCTAGGGCAGTCTTGGGCGAAGGCGATAGGCATATTTGCGCGAGGAGGCCTTCAACCTGGCGGAGTCCCTTGCGGATCTTGGCCTGGTCGTAGGAGGAGATATTATCGAAGGAGAGGGAGAGTAAGGCTTCCATGGCGATGTATGTGCTTTGTTTTGGGAATGTGAAACTGAACCGAGGGGTATGAATGATCCGCTGAATTACGGCGCTGATGGAGGAATAGAAAACAAGACGCTGAAAAATGTTAATACAAAAAATATGAAGTGAAGAGAAGTGTTTGCTTCCGGGAGCAAAGCTTGGGGGGGGTAGGACGGTGGGAATATAATACGTCTTTAACATACCTCATCAAAGGAGTCCGTGCTATCAAAATATTGACTCCGGGGTCCATAGCAACCGGCAAACACCACCCCAACCCCGACGCCAAGCCGTATTAGGAATGGTTTGTCCGATAACCCAAACCTGGCCATGACGTCTCGACCCTCGATTGTCGATTACTCTGTTATTCCACGAGTTACGAGTTACGAGTCTATTGTATGTCAAATCGTCCTGCGATGTTTCGTCGGTCTGCGTGATCTTCATTTGTATTGGCCGTGTCTTGTCTTTTTATTTTCATGTCCGAATACATCCTCGTCCGAGAGCCTTTCTGAAGCTCAGCTGTCCACGGATGTACAGGCCGGGCCTTGCAAACGAGTGGGCTACGATACGAGGAGGCTCTCTGCCATCCACCTTACCAGTGGCGTTCTAAGCGCCGACGCGGCTGAAACTTTGCGCCTACTGCTCCTATTCTTGGCAACAATCAATGCAGCTATAAGGGAGCTTCGTCAACACTTTTACTGCCTGCTGTAGAGCTCTTTTCGCCCTATTGAACTCAACAGCGGACTGTTCACTGCTGCCCCTCGAACGATCACCGCTTTGCGCTGCAGGTAAACTAGCAACCTGGCCTTCCATACCCACTCTGTGCTAAACCTTGTGCCTAGACCCACCCGATCTGCCTAATGCTTCTTCGGAGTCCCCACCAAGCTGGCGGCCCCTCAATCATGGTCTCTGAAAATCTACGATCACCGAATGCGATACCACCGCGAACATCCTCAACTGGCCAGCATACCTTGAACCACCTTGCATCGAAGCCTGTACTACGACCTGTGCCAGAAGGCGACTGGATAAGTCAGAAGAAAAAATCACCTCCCGATCAGACCCCCATAAACCCAACGATCCAGCCTGAAATTACTAGCGCACCCTCAAAAGAATACAAGAACGACATGACATTTCATGGGAAAAGCACATGGTCTGAAGACAAGGAGAAGATATTGCAAGGACCATATGAATACTTATTCGCGCAACCGGGGAAGGACATCAGAAAACAACTGGTTTCTGCATTTAACGAATGGCTGGAAGTGCCACCAGAGAGCTTGGAGGTTATTACAAAAGTGATTGGGATGTTACATACGGCTTCTTTGCTTGTAGATGATGTCGAAGACTCGTCCTTGTTGAGGAGAGGGCTCCCTGTTGCACATAGCATATTCGGGACCGCGCAAACAATCAACTCAGCCAATTATATTTATTTCTGCGCGTTGCAAGAGTTGCAGAAGCTGAAGAATCCAGCGGCGGTCACAATATACACAGAGGAGTTGTTGAACCTACATAGAGGCCAGGGAATGGATCTGTTCTGGAGAGATACGTTGACTTGTCCGACCGAGGACGATTACCTTGAGATGGTAGGGAACAAGACGGGGGGTCTGTTCAGGTTGGCAATCAAGCTCATGCAAGCGGAGAGCAAGAGTCTCAAGTATTTATTCCAACCCCCTACCTGGTCTCCTGCCACTAATAAGTTCCAACAGAGACTGCGTCCCGCTTGTGAACCTCATCGGCATAATCTACCAAATCCGCGACGATTACCAAAATCTTTCCTCACCCGAATACTCGCAAAATAAAGGCCTGTGCGAAGACTTGACTGAAGGCAAATTTTCCTTCCCAATCATACATAGCATACGAGCGAATCCGGATAATCTTCAGTTGTTGAATATCTTGAAGCAGAAGACGGATGATGAGCAAGTTAAGAGGTACGCCGTGTCGTACATGGAGGGCACTGGCAGCTTTGAATACTGCAGGAAAGTGCTGAACACATTAACGGAAAAAGCAAAGAGACTGGTAGATGAATTAGATGATGGTGGTCATAAGGGAATAGGGGTATTGAAGATATTGGATAAAATGACCGTTTGAGAGGGAGTATGGATTGCTTTGGGTTTGGGAGATTGGTTTGGCGCAGGTGTTTATGATATCCTCTTGCTGCAACCTGGGGTGGGTGATTCCTGGACAAATCCAGAGTTACTGTTGTCTCATTACATTGTTAATAAACGCCGTCTGACCTTTTTACCGTACTCATTCTTCACTCTATTGGCACTTGTGGTACGGACCTTGTAGACGAGAGCGAAGAAGAAAGCCGAAGCAAGGCTGGGTCAAAGGGTTTGAGAGAAATGAACAAAGCCATCGGGACTTTACGACAATATAAATTTTTATACACTTGTATGCTGCTCGTGTTATCAGGAGTAGTTATGAACAGGCATTGCAATTTATTGTTTGTACAATACCCATATTCACAAGCGCAAGATTTATATACTAGATGTTCGAAGTACGTGTACCTTCTAGATGCTTAAAACAAAAGTTCTCCTGAACCCCTTTTCTTACACGAGGTCTGGATTTCGAGCCTAAGATAAGCGAAGTGATCTTTCTCTTGATGGCAGCTTGATATTTATACTGTAACGAAATATGTTTCGCTCTATGTCCTCCGGAGAACTTGATCTCAAGTGAGATCTTGATCAGTATCGAATTCTCATATCAAAGAATTTATCCTCATAGTGCATCATTGACACATAAGCTACGGCGTGACACAAGAACGCTGCACCCATTTTTGGTTCCAACACAAGTCCCGGCTTTTATCATCATTCCCTCGATATCCGGGTTTCCCTCCATCAACAGGGTCAATGTAGACCCTTCAGCAAGATGTCCTCCCCGTCATCCGAGCCGCAATACTCCTTTGCCACCGAAGAAGAGATCAACTCCTTCGGCAAACATCTGTACAAATCCAAACGGATCCTCGCTCTATGCGGTGCTGGTCTCTCAGCCGCGTCCGGTATCCCCACCTTTCGAGGATCCGGTGCTTTGTGGCGTGGCCATAAAGCAGCGCATCTTTCGAGTATCGAAGCTTTTGAGGCGAATCCGGGGCTGGTGTGGAAGTACATGATGGATGGGAGACATCTTGCGTTGCAGGCGAAACCGAATGCTGGACATGAGGCCCTGGCCAAATTGGCGAAGAAGAAGAAGAAGGGATTTGTTTGTTTGACGCAAAATATTGATGGTTTGTTCGTCGGTCCAATGTCTTGTCTCCAATTCATTGCAGGACTGACCTGACCACTTGCTGACTGCCTGCAAGGACTTTCTGAAAGAGCCAAGCACCCAAGGGATCGACTCTATTCATTACATGGCTCCCTCCTGGATATAAAATGTTCCAATTGCTCGTGCGACTATTATGACAAAGAAAATTTGAAGGATCCTCTAACTCCAGACTTAACCGGCGATGATAACCTTGCATCGTTCTCCTCGACAGCAACGTCCGAACCCACCACTAGCCTCACCTCCCAGTTATTCTCTATGACCATCCAGGAGTCCAAAAAGCCGGTCCTTGAGCCCCGGCCTAACCCGCTTCAAGAAATCCTCGACAGCCTCGCTCCCCCTATCACCCCTGAAATGCGTAAAGAGGTAATCCCGACCTCGAAATTGCCCCACTGCCCTAAGTGCTCCTCTGTGCTACGCCCTGCTGTCGTTTGGTTCGGCGAGTCACTTTCTCAGACAATGTTTGATGAGATCAATGCGTGGCTTGACGCAGAGAAAAGGCTGGATCTGATGATGGTCATCGGCACCATGGCCGAAGTCTACCCGGCTGCGAGGTTCGTACAGCTTGCTAAGGACAAAGGGGCGAGGATTGCCGTCGTTAATCTTGATGGGGGCCATTTGGGGGGAATTCAGTTGAGGAAACAAGATTGGTTGTTCGAGGGTGATGCAGCGGAGATTTTGCCAGTGTTGTTTGAAGGAACCCTGGAGAATTGAGGTGCTGAGATAATATCTTATAAGCTACCGGTTATCACAATAAGACAACACCTCATCATACACGCAGCTTTAAGCACCAGGACTGTCTATCTTCAAGCATCACCTAGCGGATTCCCCTGCCCGGATCCCGACGCCTCTCCAATCGGCGGAGCAGCAGCGCCTTCGGCCTCTCCAGAGACCTGACCTCGTCCGCTCCCACTACCGCTACCAGACACTTGCGTTGCATTGGCATCTTCGGCAAGTCCAGCTGAAAAAGTCTTAAAGTTCGGTTTCGGTACTGTATGATATTAGAACCCGAGAAATCGATATACTGAGTGCTGGAGACGTACCAAGCTTAGCCTTGCCGTCCTTGCCCTTCCCAACAGCCTCTGCCTGCTCCGTATTCATAGTAAGAGATGATGAAGCTTCAGGCTCAGTGACCGCATCACGAGGCCAGTCATTATTCTTGAAAGAGAACCTATCCATCGTTGGGAACGGCGGCTTCGGGTTCCCTACGACATTGTCAATACCCCCTCTGAAGCGAACTATGTAGGAAAACGCACAGAGTTTTGTGCATGTCTGGTGCAGCGCACAGTACTTGATTCTGTTCTCGTCACACTCTGGCCACCGTTCTCTGTACTTAGCAACCCGGCGATTGAAGCGTTCCTCTAGCTTGCTCCATGAGATCCTCGGCGGGATATCGCTGTCCATGAAGCTGGCGAGGTAATCCAAGTACTCGAGAGGCTCTGCTGATTCAGCCATACTTGTTTTCAAGAGGAATATAAAGAATGCGAAGTCGTGAGGCTGTGTAGCTGAGATGGGAATGTCGTGGGCACTGGGAGGAAAGAAGTTGGAAGAAGTAGTTCATGGCGTGGAAATCGTCAACTTGGGTCTCATTGTAGCAAACTTTATACATTGCAATGTTTACTGGACTTATAAAGAAGCTGCTATGATTGAGCACAGGGAAACACAGCAAGAGCGAATCCTAACATTGCAAGATGCAGCAGCGAGTCGACCCCTATCCATAAGCGATCTTCGCAGCTTCGCTTCCTAAAAGAGCGTGTCACGTCTCAGACACCTATGCGCGGAAAAAAAGGAAGTAAAGAATGAATGAAATCTCTTGAAATCTATGATAAAAAATTGTTATTTGTTTAGTTATAGAATATTGTCTATATCAAAGAGATACATGTACCTTAAAGATCCAATGAGAATTCAAACACAGGAAGGAATAGGGGAGGGGGATTAGCCGAACGATAGGCGAGGCAGTAGATCGCAAGAAAGCTCTCTTTTAAGCTAAGCGATAGCGAATTAAGCGTATTGAAAAGATTCAGCTCTGAATTCCCATATCTTCTATTTTGAATCAAGCTTCGTATATAGACTCAAGTCCAAGTCTGGAACCGTCGCGGAGAGAGTCTTGCAGAAGACCCGGAGAGTTGCCGGCTTACGTATCTGTCAAGTTTCCTAAATTCCAACTGCATCTCACATTCCTCCCCGCATTTTTGGTCTTGCCTTTGTCTCTATGAGTACCCTTGTCAAAATGAACGATGATTTTCTACACTAAAGTTGGTGTGATGTTGCATTTGGCTGTTTCTTTGTTCAGGATAAAGAAAGGTTGAGAGCGTGGTGTTATTCTTTTCAAAGCCGTGCCGCGCCCGGTGAATTGACAGTAGAATCATGTTAATCGAGGAATGTATATGTGGTCTTCTTCCCTCTTCTTATATGATTCAACTTCAGCGAGTGCCGCTCTTTAGAGAAGAGATTATTTCAAGTAACAAGTCTTAATTTTCTTCAATCACGATTCAGCAAGAGATTGGCCATGGCACCAAAATCATCTTCAAGACCCGCCCCAAATAATCAGACAGGAACAGGGTCGGCTAATAATGCGATCGTACTCGACAGCAGCGAAGAGTCTAATACTAATGTCAAGAAGCAGACAGGAACAGGGTCGGCTAATAATGTGGTCGCACTCGACAGCAGCGACGAGTCTGATACTAATGTCAAAAAGCAGAAAGGTAGGGAAGATGAGCCTGAAGTTCCTCCCGGACCATTCACCGACTGGAGGTACTCTTTTTCCCGAAATGGGCATCCTAAAGGATGGAAACTTGAGGACTTCCCAAAGACTCTGTATCCCGAGGTTCATCTCGAGAAGCCCCAAGATACATGGGGCAGGCGCCAAAAAGGTTACCCCCATGTCGAAGATATCTATTTCATAGCCGGTAGAAATGATAGAATGGAAGGTAATTGTTATTTTGGAGCGAGTAAGACAATTAATTCCTTTCTGATGAATCCACAGAAGTTATTAACTGCTGTCAGTTTCTACACTCATATACGGATCGAACCAATATTGGCACACTGTTAAAGGTCACCATCTGGCATTTGTAAATGATGTTCTCCTTAACAAACAGCATCCTAGACACACATTGTATACACAAATCAATGCGCGTCTAAGCCAGCGTGATGATGGGGGGCGTCTCGGTCGCAAGGCAAACCTCTGGATGCGACTCAACACACCTTACGCTTGGCAGGATGGAGAGATTCTTCAAATCACAGCTGATCTATACGATGTTTTCATCATTCAATATGGAATGTCCGAGGATCATTCCAAGGTCGAAAATGTGCGAGTACGCGGGAACTACAACTCAACACACCTACTTGTCCGGTTCGTAGATGAAAATCACTATGAACCCCTCATTCCTGACGAGATGCCTCTATCCGAGTTCTCATTCCCAGAAATTACTCGGGAGAATACAAAAGGCAAGACATCTGTTCCTATATCGACACCGCGACAAGGAGCCACTGATCTGAATCATCCCTGGAGATCGCCCATGTCGAGACAGGAAGTCCCAGAGCAACTCTTTCCCAAACCTCGTCTTCCGGATATGACCCCGCTTGAGTTCTCTATCGTTTCTGGATTCAATACTACAGATTCCCTCATGGACTTGGAGCTTTATGAAAAGGCTCGCGAGGCTGCTGCAGAAAATCGAGGATCAGGTCCTCCCACAGGAGAGACTACAGCTTCGGCAGGCGGTAACCCCACGCTTGTATCGTTGTTGCACAAGCAAAATTGAACACTTCAGGTATTAAGATGATAGATGGAGGTGGAGATTCCGGTTCCTTTGAGGCCACTGGCAGCCTTTTGACAATGTTATTTTCTCCATTCCTGATTGTGTAGAGCATCACTTCTTATCAAGTTCGAATAGTTTATTTTTCCTCCTTTTTCTGAGTAGTCACTAGTCGAGATTAAACTATTTCCGCCCAACTCTACCACTCAAGTAGCGCCTCAAATAGCTCCTAGGACGAGAAACGTACTGTAACTAAAGATGGTGAGGATTTGGAGATGTTTTGATAGCTGGCATTCAATTATAGCAACTCTAGTTATTGACATCCAAATCTATGCTGGTGGCTCCATACCTCTACAGAACTCTCGATGTTAATTTCATAATCATTACTTACGTTGACGATTCTTGTTCCTTCAAACTTACTCATCATAATCTTCATTACTGCCCCGAGTAAAAATAATAAGATCGTGGGATCCCAAAAAGCCGGAATGCAGACAACTACTTTCGTGTTTCCAGAATCGCCCGTTGCTGATTATGAGCCCTTTGTTAAGAAAAGTAGTTCTCGATAGCTAGACTGAAAACCATATGTTATCCCCTCGTTAGTTTACTCTAGAAGACTGTTTGCGGAAATAACTATCATTGTTGGCAGATTCTCTTTGTTTGGTTTCCACGTTTCCGCTGCCTTGGAAGCAATGCGAAGGTTTTCGACGCTTTCCCTATAATGCACCACCTTAGGATTGTAAGATTGTAGAATCATCTCATTGACAGTAGAAACAATAGATGTTTCCGTTCTAGAAGGTTGTTTGCGGTAAAAAAGTGTTTTCTCCCCATTGATAATCATCAAGTCTCTTTGTAGGCTTTTATTATCCTAAAGCAGTGACATTCCTTCCAGAAGATTCACTTCCTAGATTATAATAACTTTGGATTTGAACTTCGCAAGTTCGTAAGTATCTAATCTACTACATCCAAGATAAACCTTTCCGACAGTTCAGTAAAAAGCCATCACAATGGCAAGCAACAACGATGATGGTCTGGAAATGGTCTATACGCCTAGGGATGACGGGGTGGAATGGCCATTCGATGTAGAAGAATGCATGATGTTCACAGGTCAAGGAAGCCGCGAAACTCGGAATGTCAAAATCTGGAGCGATATCCGCCATCTCCTAGACTATCCGGAAACAGAACCATTTGATGTCGTCTTGAAGAGATGGGAGTACCAGCCCGATCTTATCAGCAACTGTCCTCACGCTCCAGGAGTTCAATTTCGCATTGCAGTAAACGAGACTAATGCCGAATTAAATAACCTGACGCCGGAGAAAGGAGACTCTTACTTTACTGCACGTAAGTTAAAAATCACTATCGTCAATTGTTCACGGAGTCTAACAGACCTCACAGTTGCATTGCATATCTATGGAAACGCCGATCACTGGATCTTGACGAAGGGCGAGCATCTGGAATATTTCGAAGCTGTATTGGGGGACAAGGACCATCCTCGCCATGAGCTGTACCAGAAATCCAATGAGCAAACTTCAGGACCAAACCACTTCCACTTGCTCGAAAGGCTTATGGTTCCTCATTGCTGGGTTGATCATAAGTACGTCATGTCTTCATTTCCTTCCAGCATGCATGGACAACTGCTAACCTGCAATCGCTCACAGACTTTTACAGCAAGTAACTGCAGATCTGTACGGAATCTTCTTGGTCACGATCACGTCTCAACCGGAAACCGAAGACATCATCGATATTCAGGTTCGCGGTAGTTACAATGCACCTCACCGATTCCTGCTCTTCAACAATGGAAGCAGCTACAATCCTCTTGTTCCGAATGTGCCCCGGCCGTCAGAATACCGCTTCCCAAGGATCACGTTCGATAATACTCGAGGAGAGTTGGGGATGGCCGGTAGTTTGAGAAAGTCTGAGAATGACGGTCTACTTCACCCTTGGCGACGACCTCTTCCTGGTGTTCCAGTCCCGGAGAGACTTGTCCCAGTTCCAATTACAACGCTCGGCAAAATATCTCGTGAGACCATTGAGAGGGTAAATTGGATCACTATTCGTGATGAACCTGATGATACCATACAGATGGCTACCGATGTTCCAAAAGTGAGCTCTGGAACATCTAAGGCAAGCCCTGGGTCAAATAAACCTGATGACACCAATCAGATGGCTATCGATGTTCCAAAAGTGAGCTCTGAAACATCTAAGCCGAGCCCTGGGTTAAATGAACCTGATGATATGAATCAGATGGCTGCCGATGTTCCAAAAGTAAGCTCTGGAACATCTAAGCAGAGCCCTGGGTCAAGTGAACCTGATGATACTACTCCTGAGATGCCAAATAATGGACCTTCTAAAAAATCCATTGACTACTTTCGGAAGAGTCTGAGCGATCTTGAAGATATTGTCAGAATACGAGGTGTAAAGATTCCAGAAAGAATTGCAAATCAAGCAGATGCACAAATTCGAAGAGAGCGAATTGCTGCTTTACTGGAAAGACTGGACGAAGGGAACGTTGGACAGAGATGGAACGACTTGCGCGTGTCACAACTAGTCGATCAAGAAGAGTATGGGCCTTGTAAACAAGTAGGCGATGAGACGGAAACGACTACAAAAACCTGGCTGGAGAAGGTCGGAGGCGTACTCAAAAAGACGACCAGAGCGACCACGACGCAGGTACTCACAAGTGTCCCTCTTGGCATCTTGCCCTTGACGAGAGCAAAGTGCTCAACGACAGCGGATTGGTTGAAGGTGTATGAGGATATCAATGCCAACAATGATAGCTACCTCCAGTGTCTTCTGCTTGGAGCAAAGCTTGTCCCTACTGGGGTAAGGCAGAAAGATATCGATGCGTATCAAAAATTCATGCTAGGCGAGCAGGCTATTGAGACAACTAGCAAGGGGAATTCTCCGAGAGATGCCCAAGGAGGCAATACCATGGGTAACACACCGGAATCTGCGACAGCAAATGAAGTTCAATCTCCGCAACGAAGCCTTCAAGGTAAGCGTTCACCATCCCCTGAGGAACAATCTGACGATGAATCTAGCTTTGAGCCGGATTCAGACATAGAGTCCAGTTCTGAGTCCGAATCGCCAGACAGAATCAATTGGGAGGGAAAGGGAACGACCATGAGAATGATCAGAGACGAGGCCAAGAAACGTATACCACCCATTATAATCCCTGTTGGGATGAAGGCGTCGAAGGTGAAATCTACCTATGGTCCTCAATTGACAGCTCTGGATAATGCAGCCAAGAAGCAAAGAGATGCAGTTCGGGCAGCCGAGAGTGCCAGAAGAAAGAAGAGACCTAAGGACAAGCATGGAAACTTGCACAAGAGAGCAAAGTTCCAGCACGAAAGCGAAGATGACGACGCTGATGAGCTTGCGGGCATGTAATGGGGAGAAGTGCAAGGCGAACGTGAAGACGAAGACAAGAATGTTGAAGAAGGTAAAGAACAAGAGAACGATGAGCCTATGATTACAAAAGAAGATCTTAGAGATTATCCCAGTCAGCAAGGAAATAGTAGATGAGTGATAGCAGAACATCACCTTTTCAAGAACAAGTAGTCACCAATTCAGCTCCATATTCAACCCAGCGGTTATGAGGCTGTATGGGATAATGTCAGGGCGTCTTTAAAGATGGGTGTTTTCTGGACTGGGTCTATGTTAATCATCAAATTCATACTCAAGATAAACCGCTTTCACTTACGCGAGTCTTGAAGCGCCCAAATCTAGAATCTGCAAAGCACTAATAGATCCTCCCTTGACATGTAAGGGATGTAGATGTACTCTATAAATCTTAAAATATTATCGCCTGACCTTCTAGCCCTATCGACGCCCAACATAGCACATAACTCCAAATCTATAAGTGTGCTCACATACGTCTAAAGGACCCAATTCCCTTCAATATCTGTATTGAACAAGCCATCGAAGAAGAAAGTATCCGTACCCGGCAATCCCCAGTTATCCATCGATTGCTCTGGCATCGGTGGTGGAAACTGACTACTGGTGAAAGAAACCATTGGTGGATTCACATGATTCTGGGAGTAGGTTGATAGACCCTGATAGGCCTGCGAAGTTGCTGGCCCGCCCGTTGGGGTGCTTTCTTGAGGCTGCGATACGATAGCATTCGCTGGCTGGTCCTGATTTTGAGTCTGTTGCGTACGAGCAATATTTATCGTACCAAAGTAGGGGATGGTCAGTCGAAGATTCCCTGCACTTTGTCCGGAGGTCGGATTGACCGCCAGGAGAGTTTTGATAACATTCACGCTTTGCGCAGCTACCACACCTCTCCCGTCCACTGATATTTCCTCCATTAAGCGCAGGACAGCTTCCACCAGAGCTCTGTCATTCTCATTTTGGAAATTCTGTCCGTTTTCGTTCCCTTGTGTCTGCTCGATGAGATTGAGTAGCAGAGTTACTGTTGCAGTAAGGGCCCCAAAATCAAGGACTTTACAGCAGAACGACTTTTTTTCACGCCTTCTCAAAAAGAGATACCTATGGATAATCTCTCGGGAGGCTTTCAAACAGCTAAATTTGCTATAATCATAGCGACGTTCTGTGGCTGCGCGGAGCATGAATGGAAGATGCAGGAATGCCTCGAGCTGGAAGTACCAGATTTGGATCATCACCCGATGAAAGAAAACAGCGGTTGCTTCTGGCCTATTACCTCCAGAATATGACTCAAAATTCCACCAAGATTGTGGCAGTTCTTTAGCAAGGCTATCCAGCATTTCGTCGATTTCCTGCGTGGTAGCGTAGGCATGGGTGCCTAACGCTTGATTTCGTTCGATGATCCGACTTGCTATATTACTAAGCCTTCTAGAGAAGAGACCACTTGTGTTGATATCTGGATTTTGGAATGTTTCTTCTGGCCTGAATACATCATCAACGGAGCCTGGGGGCAATCCGAGGAGGAGTGCCTTGAAACACAGAATAATTAGCAGGAATTGGTACATAGAAGAAAGGAAGATCTACATACTAAGTAACGGTCAGCTTGAACGATTTGCTGCCACATGACTCTCCCTCCTGGAACAACACTCGATTCTCTGTGAATTCCCATCAACTGGCCTATATTTAAAGCTCGTCGGAAGGAAAGCCAGCCACGCCGTAGGTTTCCACCATTAATGTGGAGCATGCCCTGGAGTACCAGGCATTCGAGCCCTTCGATACTGCACACAAGCTCATCATCGGAGATTATGAGAGTTTGAACGGTGGCGAGGTATTTATCCATGCGTGAGGCAACCGAAGAACTGAGGTGGAGCTGACTAGCATCGAAGTCCAGTGGAAGTTGTTGCAAACATATAGAAAGGTATAGCAAAAATCGCCCGATCATGGTGGGATGCTGCTTGGAAATTTCAGCGATATTGAAAGTAGTAGGACCCATGGAGGTATTGTTTTCTTCGAGGCCATCCCCTATGTTCTGGCTCAGACTATGGAGGACTACCCAGTAGCCGCCTTCCCTTGTGATCAAATCCACATCAGATTGTGATGGTAGCAGATCCGTGAGTGTCTGTCTGAGTCGATCAATTTTTGATGGCCTACATGAAGGTGTCTTGGTCCCCGCTGGTTGGGTGGAAGGTGTATCAATTTGTAGCTGGGAGGTTCCGTGTCGACGGCCAATCTTGAAGGGTCAGCAGATGATCTATAATTAAGAAAGGCAGCAACTGACGACTTCATTGTCAAAAAGAGAGAGAATAGGGGGTTCGTTGCCACCGGATGCCATATTCGAAGAATACGGGGTGAGGACATCATTACTACCCATAGAATCTGGGGTGCTAATCCTTTGAGCATTTTCCTCTTCCTCGTATGCCTCTATTTTTGTGACCAGTTTCTCCAGGATCGTTTCGATTCGCCCAAGCCTCTCGCCGATCCGAACGCTGCTAGATGGGTCATGTTCCTCAGGATATTCCTGACTCAGGCATGTTGTGCCCCGCTGTGAGTATGATAGTTAGAAATACAATGGCTAGAACAGCTGGAAGTCGGGAAAATGTAAGGAACCATTCATACAGCAAGGCACCCTGCGCAGACGTTGACACTGTCTGTACTCAATTGACATCGAATCTTCCTTCGCTTGCCTTCTAGATGATTAGGACTAATTTAAAATAAAAGCAATTGACAGCTTACATTCCCAGCAGCTCTTGGTTCCTTTGCGGATTCTCTTTCGAGGGGGTTCACCCGAGTCGTCCCGTTCAACTTGGATCGACGGAGCCGTTGACATATCTGCAAATCCTACAGGGCACCAGGGGCAAACATCGAAATGCTGTGTCAAAATCCAATTACTGTGCTTACAGGCAAGAAGTTGAACTAAAGAAAACCACTTGGAAATCTCAGAGAATGGAGTCTAGGAAAAAATATTAACAGCAGAAGTTGGTAGGCAATGACCATGGTCGTCAGCAACCTTATCTGGGGTTAACTCCGCCGTGGCCGGCCGAAATAAATGGATATAACCACCCCTTTTTTGACTACCGCTTTCCTTCCTGGGTACAGTTGCCCGGCATAAAGCCGCACATGGCTTGTGACGTATGAAACTTACGAGTGCGCTTATCAACGTTGTACCAGGCCAATTTTTATGTTTTCCTGGTCCCATTCATGGCTCTGGCTCTTTTATATGTGACATTTTGTCGCGAGTAGCGACCCTCCCCACGTTTGAAAAATCAAAGAGATTTCTAGATGGCGATCGCAATTGATATAATATACTCATTTCCTGAGCAAATTCTCCAGTTGAAAATGACCTCTCGTTATACTCCGTAGATGCTGAAAAGGAGTGACCCCTTAAATTCACTAAAGCCTCAATATTCAGGCAAAGCTTAAAACACCCATCACGTGTGATAAACAGTCTGGAGCCCAAAAAGTTTAGAGCTTCTTGTTCGTGAAGCTGCATACCACACCCAGCTTTTGATCAATTGATTTGGATTGGCCTGGCCCTGTTTCTTTCCTGCAGCAAGCATATGGAAATTTGTTGTTTGTCTTCATACAACTGCCAGAACACCTGCCAGAACACCCTTTCTACGCGCAACCTCCTCAGCCTTGTAATCTACGTCCTCGCGACGGCACAATGACCAGCATTGATGATCTTTTCAAGGTACGTAAGGAGCTGGACTTTCTTCGCTCGTGTCTAATAGTAATTCCAGAAACCAGCTTTACCAAGCAATAAGCGCAAGCTAGAAGCAACTCGAGACCCAAGTTCGTCCACTCCCTTCCTCCAACTGCGCCATCTACTGATTCTTCTTAGATGAGGTCTACAAATCTGCGAAGCTTGCCTCAAATGGAGACGCCAAACGCCATGGTCGCGCCCCGGCTGTAGAAGACGCAGATGACGACGTTGAGGCGGGACCTTCAGCACCACCCGATGACGATGCAGACTACGGCCCCGACATCCCCGACGATGACGAAGGGCGATTCTTTGGCGGAGGAGTCACAAAAGATGAAAAAGAGATATTGGATTACGTGGACGAGCAAGAGAGTGCGGATGTAGCGCCTGAGAAGATCGATGCGGCATGGCTGCGGAAACTGGCCCTCAATTTCGAGAAGAAGATAACAAAGAACGCGGAACTGAGAGCAAAATTCGAGACGGAGCCGCAGAAGTTTATGGGTAGTGAGGCGGATCTAGATGCTGATATCAAGGCTTTGTCTATACTATCTGAACATCCAGAGCTTTACGGAGAGTTTGCGAAGCTTGGATGCGTGGCGAGTTTGGTGGGGTTACTGGCGCATGAGAATACGGATATTGCGATTGATGCGGTGGAGATCATAAGTGAACTGACGGATGAGGATGTAGAGGCGGAACAAGAACAGTGGGATGTGCTTGTGGATGCAATGATTGAGGCTGATCTGCTGGACTTACTGGTTTCAAATTTCAGTCGTTTCGATGAAGGGAATGAGGCGGATCGAAGCGGTGTTTACCATGCGCTGAGCGTGCTGGAAAACCTTGCCTCAAAGGCATCGCTCGCGGAGAAGATTGGGCAGGATACGGGGGTTCTGAAATGGTTGCTCGAACGGATACAGAAGCGGGAATCACCGGTCAGTCAGAATAAGCAGTACGCAGCAGAAGTCCTGGCTATTCTATTGCAGTCATCAACAGCCAATCGGAGGAAGGTTACCGAACTTGATGGTGTTGACCTGCTTTTACAACTGCTCGCAGCATACCGGAAACGAGACCCCCTGAAAGGAACCGAAGAGGAAGAATTCGTTGAAAACGTCTTCGACAGCGTAACCTGTGTTGTGGACGAGCCGGAAGGGAAACAGAAGTTCGTCGAGGCGGAAGGAGTGGAGCTATGCCTGATTATGGTCAGAGAAGGCAAAATGAGCAAATCTCGCGCATTACGGCTGCTGGATCACGCGTTGGGTGGGCAGAGTGGCGCAGAAGTTTGCGAGAAGCTGGTCGAGGCCGCGGGACTGAAGGTCGTGTTTGGGACGTTCATGAAGAAGCTCGATGGGCAGACAACAGAACATCTCCTCGGTATCTTTTCGTCGTTATTGCGACTCCTTCCTGCCAACGAAGCGGGACGAATACGCACCCTTGCGAAATTCGTGGAGAAGGATTATGAGAAACTGGGCAAGCTGGTCAAGCTAAGGAGAGACTATGCTGCGAAGCTTGCGGTCGTGGATAAGGAGATCAGGAATGAGCAAGCGAAGCTTGATGCTGACGAGCGGGAAGAAATGGCTGACGAGTGGGATTCGAGAAGGCTGGATGCAGGACTCTACTGCCTGCAGACAATTGATGTTATACTAGCTTGGCTGGTTGCTGAAGACGATGGTGCGGCCAAGAGGATACAGAGTCTTCTTGCTGACCGCGACGAGTCTTTGGCGGTGGTCAAGGCTACAATTCAAGGTATGTCCAATGCCACAAGCTTTCCGATTCAACTGCTAACTTTCTTACTAGAGCAACTCGATTCCATAGTTGGAGATACAGAAGAAGAGAAGATGACGAAGGATATGCTGAGCACTTTGGTACAGTTCTTGACATAGCCAAAGAAAAAATCATTATCAAGAGTGGATTTAATAGCTATCTATCTCCTGAGTTGGATGTCTATTCTTAAAGTGGTGACTATGTATACCCAACGCCCTATCTGATTAATATATCATTATATCATTAAACTTCAACCACATTCTCTGTTCTCCCATGAACAGGTGGTCCCCCGATTGCTCTTTCATCTCCGCTCTTCGGATTGTTCTTCGTAATCAATCCTCCCGTCCAAATGAGACACGGAAGTGCACCCGCTAAACTGAAAAGCCCCAGTGACCAAGCCATCGTTCCCCATCCGGCAGCATCATTAACATATCCAGCCCATATAGGGCCTATCAGAGTCCCCGCAGCAAAGGCAGTAACGTATAAGCCGTAGGCTTGAGCATAAGCACCAGTTGGACCGAAACGTCCCGGGTTTTGCTTCTCCTTGGCCTCAACGACATAGGTGATTTCGGCCATCAGGGGCGGCATGACTAGAGTGAGTGTAAGACCGATTAGAGCTAGCAAGGCACATAACAAGACCTTTTGATTTAATGTATTGTGTGTCACGAACCGCAAGAGGACCCAGAACGGGACGGCGAAGACGAAGCCCGTGACTGAGAGCCAGCGCGGCCCATACCGGTCAGATACCCAGCCTACGAGCGGAGCGGCGAAACTGGGGACGATGAGGGCAAGAAAGGTGAGGCCTGCTCCTGTTGAGTTCCAATGGAAGACCTTCTGCACGTAGAGGGGGATGACGCTGTCAAACGCGGTCATGAGCGATCCTTGGACGATGCAACCCCAGAGGGCCGCAACAAGGCGGCGAGATTTGAGGAGTGTGAGGACCGGTGGCCACTTTGGATATCTGACCACGGGTATGGTCTCTGTTGTGCCACCATCGTCCGGTGAATGCGATTCCGCAACCTTCTCTCCAGCCTCCTCGTCTGATTTCTCGGTCCTCTCCAGTCCTTGCTCGGGGTCAGGACCAGATATTCCCTCCGTTTCAGCAGCTTCTTCCTCAACAGCCCACTGCAGTGCAACCTTCTTCTCGATCATAGCCATGCGGAGACATATATCCAGCGCAACCAAGCCAAACGCCATATAGTACACGGGATAGTACCCCGCCCGAGTGTACACCACACCGCCCAACAACGGAGCTAGCAAGATGCCCAGAGACATGCTCAAGCTGACCCATCCCAGAGTCTGGCCGATCTCTTTCTGGCCCACCGTGTCAACCAGCAAGGCCTGACCGACAGTCCAGACAATGGCCGCGCTGAAACCCTGCAGGATGCGGCCCACGACGAGCAATGCAACGGTCCGCGCCAGACACAGCATGACCGTCGCACCGCCCAGCGTCAACAGGCCGAAGAGCAGCGGCAAGCGCCGGCTGGACGATCGATCAGCGTACCATCCCGCCAGCGGGCTGGAGACCAGCAGCGCGGCGCCGTACACGGCGAGCAGCACCGAGACCCAGCTCTGCACCGAGGAGGCCGCCACGCCGGCGCGCGCGGTCAGCGCAAAGGGGATCACGGGCACGATGATGCCGTAGAGGTAGACGTCGGTGAAGACGGCGATGCAGATGGTGGTCAGGATGAAGGTCTTGGAGGAGCGGAGCTGGAAGAGGCGGGGCGGAGGGGTCGTCGAGTCGAGGCGGGCGCCCGAGAGGAAGCTCTTGATGCGGCCCATCGCCATGACCTTTGCTTTCTCTCCGTCGCTCATTGTTGCTCGTCCCTGGCTAGCATTGGAGGGGATGGGATAGGAACAGATATATTGTGAGGTGCCTACCTACATTTGTTATTGAGGATGGATGGAAGATTTTACAACGTAAGGTACTCGGGGTTGCTCGTATGGGGCTGCTCGTATAAAATGCTGCGGTTGGAAGTTCAAAGCGATACCGACTACTATCGGCCGTACTAGACCGCCAAGTGAACGGAAATCCAACCAAAACGACGAACGACGACGACCGCGGGAAGAAAAGGCCTTACGGGGTAGGACTAAACCTATTTACGGAGGTACAGCCCGTAAGTATTGCTCTCCGTCGGGACAAATTTTAGGAAAGTTGAAGTCTCCAAAATCTTCTGTTTGGCATCGATCTTGAGAATATTCACCTTTTCCTTCACCTCTACCCTCTCCGACTTCGTTTTCTTTTCCTAGGGAGAAGGAGAAGTAGCCATCGCCTAGATATTTTACAGAGGTAGCTCAATCGTCCTTGCCAGGGCCCCTGGTTGCTGCTCGGCAGGCCTTGGGTATCTGGGTAACGGACGAATTGTTTCCCCGTGCCATTTGCAACTTACTGTCTCTCGCGTTTCTCCCTCTCTTCTTAGGATAGAAACAGTATTTGCTTATCTGTTGACAACTTGACGCGGCTGAGTGGCCGGAGCCTTCTTATAGCGCCACCAACGCAAGGGGCCTGCCCATTCATTGATTGATAAGTTGACAACATCTCTCGCGAAAGTTTACTCCGTATGCGAGAGCACGTTCGGTACTGTACCTCTGCGGGATATGATTTGATCCCTACGCTCTACGCCCTGTTGTTCTATCGAAGCGGCTTTGAAGTCAAAGCGCAAAGTGCACCGCCCTTTGGATCGGCGATGATACTATGTGTCTACATGTAGCTCCCACCGCTTATTCACGGCAAGCCAGAGGAGGGAGGAGTGGACTTGTTGCAAGCTTCTCAGAGTACTTATTATTAATTGGTGTGGACGTTTCAGCTGCGGGATTTTGAGATCTGATAATGAATTGAGGGTCCTCTCCTTGGCACCCTGGTTGACAGGAACAGGTTTCAGAAGGAGGCTCTGAAGAAGAGCCGCATCGGAGTTGACCGGAGTGGTCACCAGAGCGTCACTACTCGTGTGCAGTACATCTATGTTACGAGTGCCATGCAGGAACTGGGCTTCGCCTTATACATGCATCGCCACATACTTGAGCAACTTGAGGCTCTGGGAATCTTGCCGAGGACATTCGCAGCCCACTCAATCTGTATGACCCATCAGAAAAAGCACGCGACAAGCACGAAATGATAATAACAAAGGCACGTTGGTTGACTGTCATACAGATTATCTTGACATGTCGTACTTTTCTGACCACGAGGACGGATTTGCTTACACTTTTGTCGAGCCATCCTACGAAGTTGTCATGGTACAAGAGCCTCATTAGAAAGCACTCATTCTCCTCCAAACGCCTTGTGTTCCACAGCCTACGCCAACCCCATAGTACATTGCAGGGGGTGCAAATAGCCAATCATAGTGTCAGCCTCATCTATGCCTATGCACACAAGTAAGATATTCCCGGAAGGAAGTCTCATCCACAAGAAACCGCAGAGCTAGTCCTTTAATAGCATGATCAAGGACAAGACGGCGCATAGGACGACACATACCTTGGCTACTCAAAAATTAGCTTCCTCTGGATAAAGTCACGCCATGCCTTGTTCCGCATACATGCGACATCGGGTGGCTGTTGAGGCTCAAGCTCACTGTGCGGCTCTGCGATGGAGCATATAAGTAAGTCCCAATTTCATGGCATTCCTGTCCAGCCACTTCATTTTCATAATCTGTCCAATCACCAATGACGTTCTTTGCTGGCCCCTACCGACATACTTGTTAGTTGTTTCCTCTTGCATTTGATTTGGCGATACATCAATCAATAGCCACATCAACGGCGATTTATGGTCTCCTCGTGACTTTGTTCTCAATATCAATAACTGATTCTAACATCTTCTATTCAGGCAAAACTGGCTCTGCTCCTTCCAAAGAGTCTAATGTTTGGTTTGATACATATACCTTACGAGGTATTGTCAAATATTGTTGACAATATCAATTTTGATGATGTCTTCAATTTGGGCCTGACCTGTAGGGCACTGAGGTTCTTGCTTACAGAAGAGAGTATTTGCAAATCAATTGTTCAGGTCAGATAGTGCCATGTCTAGTTCATGTGTTACGAAGACACAGTCAGACAGCCGATTCTCAGTGCTAACAGAGCCTCAAGTCCAAGATAAAATACTCTCATGAAGCCTTGGAAGCGAGGACAGTGCATGGATGCAATAATGCATCTGCACTCCGGAGAGCAGCGAAGAGGCGCGAGGCCCTCGCGACTGCAAGACCGTTTGTTGTGGCTACCGTTGGGTTTGGAGACACATACGTATATTGCAAGGGAATCCTCTGTTACACTCTGGATGACAGATTGAGAATCCTAGACCTACACCGTTCGGCGCAATATGAAACCGTCATTAGCATCCCAAGGTTACTGACCCAGGCGCTAAATGACATCGACGGCAACACCAAAGGGGTATTCCAGGTTCTATATTGCTCAGACAATATAGTTTCGTGCGTCTATAAGTCATCTGGCGCGGACTGGGCAGCATGGCTTGTCGCTTTCGACATGACAGCCAGAAGAATTTTGGTCACGGAGGAATTGGGATCTACCGACAAAATCTTTGTGCGTCATAATCAGCAATTCCTTTACTATGGAACACATTCGGAACTCGGTGCCGACGGCTACAAGAAATGGGTCATTCAGGGTTATGACTTTGGAAAGGAAAAGTGGTTTGACCAAAAGATACATCTCCATGATATGGTAGGCTCTGAAATTGGGTCGACAATCTGTTTTGAATTTCACGATGGGTATTTCTATGCGCTTTCCAACCAGACTTCATTTGAGGTCGAGGAAATCGATTGGACTTCCTTCTACCATTGTGTACGCTTCCCCCTCGAGTCCCCTTGCAATGAACTACTGGAACGGACTGAGGATCATAGTATGTGGAGACGACAGCATCAAGAAGGCCCTATTGATGATCGCTGGACAAGCCTCCGCCTTGACGTCGACGAGAGTACCGGCGATCTGAAGATTGTGGAATCCCGTAAGGAATGGCAAATGGGCTCAAGCAGGAGCCAGCGAACGTACTACACCACAAACATTATATTTCCGGGTCATTCCAAGGACGATGGCCCGACTTCCTGGTACAATACTGAACCTGACCCATGGACTCCCTTTTCTCCGGCTGCTTCTACATCCCCCTCAGTCCAGAGTGCTGTCTGCTCTGGTTCATCGGCTTCCGCAACAAGACCTGTGTCTGACTCCTCTGTCGCCACCTCAACTTCTGGAACAGCCAGCTCTCCTAAACTTCCAAGCCACGATCTCTCGGCGCTTCCCAACGAGCCAATTCTCCGTCTCCTACAACCAGACGACAACCCACACCACATGCGCCCCCCTCCTCGTCTTCCACAGAACACCCACCCGGGAAACGATGGTTCAAATCTGCCTACCTTCACACTTGCCAAGTGCCGCGTTCGCTACTACCACACCTCAGCAAGCACCTTTCTTGATCTTGTTGACGACCCACTTCCAACGGATTGGAAAGGGACCCAACGACTACGGCTTCGAGCTGGCTCACGGAAGCTTGGGCCACCCCTCATGTATCCCTCCTCGCATCCCAAGGCCGGGCTATATCGCAAGCCTTCCGCTGACCTTCCAACCGCATTGAGAGAGATGTATATTGAGCAGCCAATCCATTTCTGGCCTCCAGCTCAAGATCCCTCCAACATCGACGAGGACGTCGATGCGTTGTACAAACTGTTGAACCCACCAACGCACATTGGTAATGTGGAGGGCACTGCGGACGAACGAAGCGTGGTATATGTCACGGGCGGCAAAGATAGGCCACAAGCCATTGTGTTTGTTGGCTTCGATCCGGCGTTCAAGCTGGTGGGGGTGAAGAGGTGGGGCGGGACGAAAGAAGGCATGTGCCAGAAAGGAGTGGGTGAGGGCCCTCACATATCTGGAAGAGCTTCCGGGAGTAGTGGAACACAAGGCGGGCTTGGGATGGCCGGTATTGACGTGCATGAAGCAGACAGAAAACTCTCTATTGACCGGAAAGGAAAAGGAAAGGCCAGATCTGAATCTGAACCTTGGGCACAGTTCTCTGATCAAGCAATAATGACGGAAACAGAAGAAACCGCAGCAAGCCCACTTAGCAAGGCGTGCCCAGGGCGGAATTGGGCATGGATAGAGAAACCCATGTATCAAGACATCAACCTAGGATATCACTTCGGGCTAGAGCGCAATCAGAACATCTGAACAGGCCCAAGCCTCATCTACCGTTTGAATTTCTATCTATCTACCTACTCCGTATGTTTTTTTTTGGATACTCCCGCATCTCGGCCATATGCAGCAGCCCCCCTCCAAACCATGATATCTCTACCCTCCTCCTCAACCCAGCACAGCCTCACCCTTCCCTTCCCCTTCTCTGAACCCATGAATATCCAGCCCCCAGTTCGTCGTCTCCCCCCACCCCCCCTTCTTCTCTAAAAATCTAGATCGTCCATCCCTGAAAATCTCAATCCTTGCACTAAAACGCCCGGCTTCTATGTGAATGAGAACCCCTCCCTGGCCTCTTGATCTTTAAGCGTGGAATTAGCTAACTACCGATATATGGTGTCTGCCTCGTTTAAGGAGAGGAGGGATTGCATTTGCATTGCATTGCATTGCATTGCGTGTGTATACATGGGATTGGGGATTGGGGATTGGGGATGGCTAGCTATTTTCATACCTACTTTAGGTAGGGAGGGACCTAAGGTATATGATTTAAAATGAGCCGAGACACGCATGCACGCAGGCAGGCGCTAGATATGAATAAGGCTTCGAATCAAGGGGGTTGTTTATTTGTTATATATATAAATGGGACGCGTTATAGAATTGTGGCTTGGGAGGGGGGATGAATTAGGAGGTTTTTGGGTTTTGAGGTCAGGGTTTGGTTGGGGAGAGGAGGGGAAGGGGTTGATGGATGGAATGGAGTGGGAGGGAAGAGGGGAGGGGAGGTGGAAAGAATGATGAGGCTCTAGATGCTGGCTATTCTGCGGATTCCGTTTGCCTTGTCTGCCTCGTCTGCACAGCCCTGTCCACGGGCACCAACCATTCGCATAAGGCTGTTTACTTTGCTTTGCTTCCAGGGTTCATAGGTCGCCAGAGGGGAAGGGGGCGGGAGAGAGATGGGTTTTATGTATTTGATTAGCAAACAAACGCGGCCAGTTTTTTAATCACTATTCCCTGCGTGAGCACCTTACTCCTTCCCACCATGCCTGGGCCAGTGTGGACCCTAGAAGGCCGAGGCTCTACAAAAGAAGAAAGATAGGAGACGAGACTAGGCGGCACCGCTGCCCGAAAGAAAAAAGGGGGCGACGCGGGGTGAATTTCTACCCTTCCTTGTTTATCGCTTTGAGGGGGGCTCAACGTAACTTGACATAGTTTGCTGCAGGAATCGTGGGTTAGATCGCGTGTTCGTTCTCTCTTCGCCCGTTGATAACCGGGGGAGGGAGGATAGGGAAACGTACCTGGGAACTGTCCTTCCTGCCCGTGGAGCCTACCTACCCACCATTCATTCTCATTATTCGTTCTCGTGACGATCTCGATCACGTCCCCGGTCACAAAACTCAAATCACCCTCGGCCTGGGCCTCGTAATCGTACAGCGCTGTGCAGGTCTCCGGAGCAGGCGCCCCGCTGAATCGAGTCGGCTTAGGCTTGGGTGGCGGCGGCTTTGCCTTGCCCAAGGCGCTGCTCGTCGAGTTCATCCGTCCAACGCCTGACACGGAACTCGTTGGCGAGACGGCGGATGAGTATGGCGGGGGTGGGTTGTCGGACTCCTGCATCGCCGGCATCGTCGGGGAGGCCACCTTGGCGGGTTCGATGGCGGGTTTTGAAAAACTAGAAGAGGTAGACCTGCGTGGTTCATCGAGAGCTAGCTTGCCAGCTCCAGGACCGAACTTTGATGCAGGACGCTTCGCTCCTGTCGTCTTGAATTTCACGATCGAGAGAGCCTCGGCCCGTTCTCGAATATCCCCTCGTTTCATTTCGAACGCCTCCTCCACGCCTAGAGACAGGTTGAAGTACCCGATATCGCAGCCTTGCATCCCCTCGTGTAGGGTGTAAAAGACGTTCAATTGCATGTAGTAGAAGGACTGGAATAATGGCCGGATGAACTCGCGTTCCAACTCGAACAGTTTTGGGAGCTCATCCTTGAGAAGATCGTTATAGTAGTTGTATTCCTGAGTTGCGCCTTCAACGTCGTTCTCGGCCTTGTACATGGCTTTCTCATCTTTCAAGCTCTTCTCTTTCTTGTCCTGCAGCTTCTTCAGCGTCGCTCGGTGTCGGTCGTAATCTAATTGCTTGTGGTCTCGTTTGGTGGCCGTTTTCCTTATGACCTTGATGATCTCCAATAACTCGTCTGCAGGTTTGATAACCCTCGTCTCGATCATCTCAAGCTCCGGCTGCAGGGTCGCCTGGAGCTCCTTCACGATAGACTCGTATTCCTCGCATGCTCTTATGCCCTCCGGGTTTCCCTCAACAACAGTGGAATTTGGATCCGAGACACGACCAGATATTGGCTTGTATATTTCTGCGATCGCTTTGGAGAATTCGATCTGGTGGCTCAGCATGCCATTGATGGCCTCGAAGTATTTCTTGCTCTCGGTGTGCAATTTTTTGGTCTCCTTCTCCAGCTCATTGAACCGTCGTTCCGCGTCGATGTAGACGGGATCTTTGGTATGCTCACCCAGATTAAACTTGGCTTTGAACGTTTGAGGCGCCTGGTTCATGGTCAGTCATGGTCCCCATTGAACCCCACCAAGCGGCCGATCAGGGATCGGCTTACTCTGATAACGCTCTTCTGGAAGCCTTTGAAGCTCATCCTCCTCCCAGGTACGTCAAAATGGCTTGAAAAGGTCGAGAGAGGTTCACGCAAGCAGGGACAGTGGTTTTTGGCACGTTACGAGAGGTAGGGAAGAAGACTGCCGGGTTTTGCTCAAAGCGCGACCTTGGCTCTCGCCGCCGAAAGGTAACGCCGGTGATGACGAGAGATGTAAGTGGCTTAGCCGTACCTAGAAGACGAAGGTCAAAGAAGCGCCGGCGTTGGTCTCGCAGCGGCCTTTTGGTCGCGAATGTTTGCAGTGAAGGTGATCAGGTTTCGAGTAGAAGATGTTGAGGTACCTTAGATGGTCCAATCTGTATCGTGGAATATGAATATAATAAATCCGTCCAGGATACCCTAGATGTAGGGTATTTTATCGTCATATATACAGTATAATTCGTCCCGCACGCTTCGGAAGGGAGCCGAGTGAATTGTGAATTAATTGTGCAGATCCGGGTTTTCCTCTTGCACAACTTATGCATCCCCCGGCTTCGCCCACCGCACGACATCATTGCCGCGTCTCAGCCAATCACAGCGCCCGCCGCTTTCTGCTCTTAGCTCCGAACGCTACTGACTAACTAGGACGGATATAAGGGTCTATGAAATATAATATATTTTGCCCGACTCTTCATCGCATGAATCTTATCAGATTTCACCTACGATCATCACCATGTCGAATATAGCTGCAACTCCATTACGGCAGGCTTCAAGGCTTTGCTTGAGGCGGCCGTCGGCGTCGGCTGGCCTGTTGAGAGGCTCTGGCCCAAGGGTGGCGGCGATATCAAATCAACAAAAGATCTCCAGGAGGACATATGTCTCTGAGACGAAGAAGGATAGCGCGCAGGTCAATGTCGACACCGCGATTCGGGCGGACCAGAAGGCCTTCGTTCAGCAGATGGGCAAGCAGCCCGAGAACCAGTCAGTTCCGGCGTCAGATGTCAACGCGGATGCGATGATGAGCCCAATGGCCGGTACGTATGTTGTCCGGAAAACCCAAAACTTTTGCTAACGACTATCCAGGTGTCCTCAAACAAGCCACCGTTATGGACGAGGGTCAGAGACCCATCTACCTTGATATGCAAGCTACAACCCCTCTGGACCCCCGGGTGTTAGATGCCATGCTCCCATTCTACTCCGGGCTCTACGGCAACCCCCACTCGAGAACACACGCTTATGGATGGGAAACCGATAAGGCCATCGAAGCGGCTCGAGAGCACGTTGCGAGTCTGATTGGAGCGGACCCCAAGGAAATCATCTTCACGAGCGGTGCGACAGAGAGTAATAATATGAGTGTGAAGGGGGTGGCGAGGTTCTTTGGCAGATCCGGAAAAAAGAAGCATATCATCACCAGTCAGACAGAGCACAAATGTGTTCTGGATAGTTGCCGGCATTTACAAGATGAAGGATTCGATGTCACATATCTCCCGGTGAAGAGTAACGGTTTGATCGACATGGCAGAACTTGAGGCTGCCATTCGGCCGGACACTGCCCTCATCAGTATCATGTCGGTAAACAACGAGATTGGTGTTATCCAGCCTATTGAAGAGATCGGCAAGCTTTGCAGAGCAAAGAAGGTCTTCTTCCATACCGACGGTGCGCAAGCCGTTGGAAAGATCCCATTAGATGTCAACAAGATGAACATCGATTTAATGTCTATTTCATCGCACAAGATCTACGGACCAAAAGGGATCGGTGCTTGTTACGTTCGCCGCCGACCTAGGGTCAGAATCGACCCGATTATCAGCGGAGGTGGTCAAGAGAGAGGGCTGAGAAGTGGAACCCTTGCACCCGCACTGGTTGTTGGGTTTGGGGAAGCCTGCCGAATTGCGAAGGAGGAGATTGCTGTGAGTACTTATCCATTTCCTTCAAACCTTGAAACTTACTATGATGAACTACTTTTACATATGCATGGCTTTCCTAGTGATCTCCTTGACTTCAAGTTGAGACTTCCTTGACGAGAGACAGTACCTTTTCTGATTTTGTTTTTATACATTCATAAGCGGAATGATTTGTTCTATATGGCTGTTTACTAATTGTTCTTGGCAGTATGATCACCAGCGGATCAAGAAACTCTCCGACAGACTTCTCAAGGGTCTGCTATCCCTCGAGCATACCTCCCAGAACGGAGACCCGAACCACTTTTACCCTGGATGCGTCAACGTATCCTTTGCCTATGTCGAGGGTGAATCTCTCTTGATGGCTTTGAAGGATATCGCACTCTCATCTGGTAGTGCATGCACATCGGCTTCTCTCGAGCCAAGTTATGTCCTGCGCGCCCTGGGCAGTAGTGACGAGAGTGCACACAGCAGTATCAGATTCGGTATTGGTCGTTTCACCACGGAAAGCGAAATTGACTATGTTTTGAAGGCGGTTCAAGAGCGAGTTACATTTTTGAGAGAACTGAGTCCACTTTGGGAGCTTGTACAAGAGGGAATTGCGCTGGATAGTATCGAGTGGAGTCAACATTAATTTTGCGGCGGAAGTGGAAAATGAGGAATCAACGGCGTTATGCGCACATGTTCTATGTCTAAGACTGGATGGGAATTTCTCGATGTAACATAGCAGGCTGGATGCATACGGTCACTTAAGTGACTTATATAGTCCCTCTTTACAAACCTCCACCGTATTTTGAAGCCATGTGAGTCAGTATATCGTGATAGCATTGCCATTTGAGTGCTGTCGATATGCTTCTGTGGAAAGCTGAGATCCATTGATGTAACGCCTCTGATCCCTTCCATGGCCCATTTATTACACACGGATGTCCAGCCACTTCCATCACTTGGAAGTAGCCTCTATGCAATCACACATTTCCCAAATATAATACACGCTGCTGGCCCACATCCCCAATTTGCTCTTCGGACATTATGCCAGCACATTCCCTTCTCACTATCCCGCCACCTAAACCCGTCCACCGGCTCACAGACTGCAATATAGATGTCAGAAGATGGTTCTTCGCACCGGAATCTATCCGCAGAGGGAACTCACGGTGGCAAAATGAACTCGCTCCAAGAACTAGAGAAGAATGCGACGGCGGCCTAGAGATCCAAAGTTAGCCAGTATTCCCATATGCCATTGTCCCTCTCCTGCAGATATCTCCTTCATCACCCCCCAGAGATAGAACGAAACAGGTTCCCGCTCGATGGAAGAATAGAAATCAACATACCCCGAACATGGCGATGCTCCTTATAACAGTGGCATTCTCGGCCGAGGTCAAGGTGTTGTATGCACTTGCGAAATAGCCCTGCTGGGCTGAACGGCGCGAATCACCTCTCTGGACGACAATACGCTGAACCTTAGGTGCCATGGTTATGGATTTGAGATGGACGTTTGAGTCGTTTGGAGTGCGTGTATAGGATCGAGAGGTTTGTTCGTTGTCTTGTTCTGCTCTGAGATGCTCCTGAAGCTTGGACTTGAACTTTTTCGCGGCCGGGGTTAGATTTCCGCACGTGATATCAATGCACAAGCGACGCCTTGCCTGACATCACACCCCTCCACCACATCGCCATATCATATGAGATTCTGGGAAAAGAGAATTGAGAGCAGTGAGAAAGGAATGGCTTGCAATTATGGATGAAACAGTCATTCAAGAACCTGGTGGCTTCCTCCCACAGTCCCTCCCGTCGCCTGCACCAAGCAACGCTTCCCAGAGCTCTACAGCTTCCAACCTCCCGCATCCTCGCTCCCACCCCTTGCGCGCCGGCTCAGCGAAGGAGGAAGCTGCACGGCGATATGTGGAGCGCCGGTTATTGCACATCTCTCGACGATACACGAAGAAATTCCAACCGCCGGAGCAGGGTGAGGAGGTGCATGGCTATGAGAGCATGACTGAGGCGGCGAAGGATCTGGGCGAGGTCATAGATGTCTTGTGGCTCTCGGGTACTCGTATGTCTCCCCTTGACACCTCTGATGAAGACAGATGCTGATGTGAATGGATGCGACTGAAGCAAGTCTGCAAATCCCCTATCTCTTGAATATCGCATTAGCCGTAACGACGTACCTTCCTTCTTTCCCACCCGCCCCAGTCTCGACGTTCAAATTGCTCCGGAAACTGGACCATGCCTTTGCTAGTTTGTTGAAGGGTGAGGATAGCGAGACGGGAGAGATCTTACCGGGGTTTGAGGCGGGGAAGAGGGGCGGTATGACAAGGACCGATATGGTAAGGTGTAAGAGCTTGGTGGAAGCAACGAGGGTGTTGATCGTGGAAGTCATGAGTAAGGAGCCGGAAACCGAGAGAGATGCGGATGAGAGTGGCATAGACATGGATGCTATGAGTGTCGATAGGGAGACGACTTGGGATGCAGATGAGGACCCACACGATATGGACGTCGCGCGGGTGTATGAGGCAACCATCACTCAGTTGGGAACCGTTCTCGAGAATAAAACGAGTTACGATGCTGGTTCTGGCTCAAGTTGAGCCGGCCACTCGTCTTATATGAAGATCATATCATCAGCCCCGTGTTCAGCGACGAACCAGTTCCAACGCCCTTCACATCATATGTTCCGGAACGCCAAAGATACCAAGACACATCTAGGTACTTTTTCCAGGTTGCTCAAGGGCTAAAGCTGCAAAGTTAGCATCTGCAGCAAGATCCCGGACAGATCCTCGAGCACTCAACCCATCTAGAAGATGTTTGTTGTTAATAGTAGCCTACCGGCACAGTGCTTATCCATCCTACCTCTTTCAACATACAGCCAAACTTCAATCAAACTCTCTCGACCAAGAGAATCGACCTATGAAGAGTCAAAGAGCATAAGGTACATAATCCATTACTATGACTGTTGAATACGAAGGAGGCAGGAAATTCCATCCGGGTGCTGGTGCCTCCAAGGCTATTTCACCAGAAGAGCATCGGATTCCACGCGAACCTGAGGACTACTCTAAGCACCCGATGATGTCTGCCAGGATCCAGTACCGAGGTATATGAAAAAGGTCTTCAGGGGTGACAGCTTGGGGTGTTGGGAGGGGAGCGGGTTGTGGGACATAGGTCGAGGTCGGACAGATGAGGGGATGTGTTGATGGGCGTGTAGTTGGTGGTTGATATTCCCTAAAAGGGCACAGTGATGTGAGGATGATTTGGTTTCTGTACAAGAGTTGCGGGCTTCAAGCATGTCACTTTGCAGGCTTTTGCAAGGCTGCTTCCTGGTTATTAGGTTTATGCTCTGGCAGCTTCTTGCAATCCATATTTTTTAGAAAGCATAATACAATCCAATAAAACCCGTTTTCCTGTCCCAGGGAACATATCCCATTGAAAGAAGAAGAATCCACTGACCCTACAAACGCCATCCACTCGGGGTATTTGAGACGGCCAACAACTATCGCCGCCGATAACTATCATCTCTACGACCTCCCCGACCGCCTCTATCCCGATCATCATAGCGATCTCGATCCCTGCCACTCCTATATCTGTCACCGTCACCCCTTCCTCTTCTGTCATCTCTCTCATAATAGCTTCTCCTCTTCTCCTGTGGACTCCGGCTCCGACTCCGCTCTCTCTTCTCCGAGTCGTATTTTCCCTCCCTTTCGTGCCGTCTCCTCAACTCGTCCTCGTCATAAACCATGCCATACCTATCCCTCCTACCGCCCCCATAGTCTTCTGCCTTATACTGTCTCTTCTTTTCCAGACCACTAACGCCACCAAAGCCCCCTCCACCTTGCCGTCTTTTGGAATTCGTCGCCGTCCGCCACGAATCCGATAATTTGGATACGGACTGTGAGAAATCGACATGGATGCGATGGTCATCGATCAACACGCCCTGCATCTTAAAATATGCTTGTTCGCAGGAGCTTTGCTCTTCATATTCGATGAAGGCGTATTGAAGGGAGTCGCCAGTGCGCTTGTCGCGAATTACTTCGCAGGAGAGGATTTTGCCGAAGCGGCTGAAGATCAGCTCCAGATCCTCGTCGGTGGTAACGGGGTTGAGCTTGCAGACAAAGAGGACATTCTCAGGAGGCTTGACTTCGGCGAATGGAAGATCGCCAATCATCTCTAGGGTCAAGGCCTGTGCCCTGGCCTCTCGTTCTCGTCGTAGCTTTTCGACGGCCTCGGGATCCGCATCGTCGTCCAACTTGTCATCCTCCCCTATTCGTACGGTGGCAAGTTGTGCCTTAGTTGGTAGAGGGCTCTCTGGAGGCTCGACGAGGCCCGGAGGGTCATCATAGGGATCGTCGAGAATAACCGTATGCTTGATCCGGATATCAACCAGAGGCCGCCCCTTCTCGTCGCAGAAAGCTTCATTTATCTTCTCCAGCACATCAAATCCTTCGACAACCTTGCCAAAAATAGCGGCCTTGCCATCCAAATAATCCAAATTGTCACCCAACGTAACTATAAACTGACTGCCTGCAACCCTCTCATCCGGGTCCCTTGTCGAAGGCGCCGTGGCCATACTGACTGTGCCCCTCTCTGCATGCTTGAGCTTTGGGTTAAAATCTGCAACAAATGTCCTCTTGGCCGGCCCCTCCAACAGCCCCCATATCGAGCTCCCTCCATCGCTGTCTTTCGAGTCGGGGCCGATAGGATCGCCGGTCTGGAAGGAGAAGTCTTTTTGTACGCTGTGCACGGGCGAGAAGTTGTAGTATTTGACTTTACACAGCTTCAGGAAGCTAGATCGCGAGGTAGTCTTAGTATCTATGCGTTCAGTTATTTAACAGGTAAGGGAGGGTGGACTCAGACTTACTTTTCGCAGAGTTTCGGCGCGTAGTCGACCAGCAGGTCGATGACTATGTCACCCGCCGAGGTCTCGAGGAGGACGCTCATGGTGGGTTTGAGGAGCTGCGGGCTGCCAGTGGGGGTGTTCTATCATACAGAGCCTCCAGGAGCTCAGTGAGAATAGTAGTTCGGAGCCTTGTTGTTGTAGAGTGACATAATCGCCTTGTAGCTGGCAAGGCTCGATCCTTTATTTAAGCGCGACTATTTACTTCGTCTACACTCTGCATGTTCTTTCCATCCTCCCCGCCATTGCGCATTTCTCCCTAGGTTGAAGTACCATGGAACTAAACTATTGTATTATCTCTTCGACAATCTCAAAATTGTCAATATAATCCACGACCATTCACTGATACCTACCTTAACCTCCAGAAGATCTAGTTCACGCACGGTGTCACGTGCTCAACACAGCTACCTACATGGGTACTTACCTCTGGCTTCCCAGGTGTGATCCTTGAACAGACCATCTACTGCATCTAGATCATCTATATTCAGAATGCGTGTGCTCTCTCAGATATAATTGGAAGAGAGAATCGTTTGTGCATGGGGTTGAGGCTTGGAGATCATGCCAGGGGCAACTACCGTCAACAATACAAATCGAACAGCTCCACCCAGTATGCTTCACAACATGTGGCTTTCTCCCAACCAACGAAATCACCCGATGGATATCTCTGGCCTTCAGATTGAACGGGATAAATTGATCGGATGTGACTTGTCTTCATTTTTCCCCAGTTTCAAGGAGAGTCGCAAGAAGTCCCGCCTTAAGAACACGGCACTGCAACTCCTGGGTACAACAGCTGGCCTTCTTTTGCCCTCCTACCCCCTCCTCCACCTCCACGAATACCTAGCTGCCGGAAGGTCAAAGGCTGTCATTGGACTGTGATGCCCTTGATCCCCTTGTCACGACGGATACATGCATACCCTTAAGGGTTGTCAGTGATTCCTTACGACGGACTTCCTTGTTCACGGCAGCCAACCGCCAATGTTCTCTATTAATTATCCGCAACCTCATGCATGCTATTACCACGTGCATGGCACAGGTGTACATGTACCAGTATTCAGAGAGGGCTTGAAGATGGATGGATCATAAAATTAGATCCTCAGAGAACGGGGGTGAAGACTCCCCTGGATATGGCTACACACGGTGAAGCTGACCCCCACCCCGTCGTACCGCCTCTCATCAACACCGGGGTCATACAAGCATACACAACATACTCGGTCTTTTCTGGAAACGATCCGGTTCATAACGATATACCGTGATTGCTATCTTTCGAAGTGAGTTTTCGATCCTCAACAGTTCTTGCTACGTTGACGACGTAGCCTTCTCAGGGCATTGGTCTCTCTTGGAGTTTGCCTGCCAAGTCGAGTGCTTGGGTCACAGTTGCAGAGATCTCGAGTGTTATCTCAGGGCTTCACAACAAAGGATACCTCCCGGTAATCCTTGTCGGCAATCAAAGCCAATCATACAAGTCATATGTTTGCAAGCTATGTAATCGGGGCTCGATGATTGTATTTCGGCACATTGATGCTCGGCATACCGAGGAAAGGCATCGGTATGTTCTCCTGCTAGCTCCTTTACGGACATGCAAAGAATATCTGCAGTGGAACGCCATCCCGCAGGCAGTAACGCAAGGTTAATGCAAAATGGGGGAAGATCCGCAGGCCCATACGCGGAAAGTACCTTACGGGGTCCTGAGCAATGTTCCAGTACCGCATTCATTGAATTTGGTGAGATACAGGTACAGGTCTTGCATAATCTCTGCTACCGGTGGCCTCCAGAGCGCCAGACTCAGACCCTAGAGATGACGTTGTAACCTAGCCAGTCATACCTGATTCGGCTTTGGATCAGGTCGCAATATACCAAACGCATGCGTTGGGGCTTTCGTCGTTTACATGTTGCGTCCCCCTCATTGGAGGCGGCTATCACAATATTCTCTCCTCCAAGCAATTTTCCTCTTCTGAACAGATGACCAGCCTTCTGCAAGAGATGGAATGTTATACGGCATTTGCATATGTAGAGACCGGATCGAAACTTACTGTATGTCGCATTGTGGCTGGCTTCGCTTCTGCAACAGTCGTGTAGCAAACACAATTTACAGTGGGAGATTGGTTGAGGCCAGAAAAACGACAGGACAGGTTTGCTTGACAATTATGAGGCGCTGACCTCGACGCATTGCGATCAAGTGGTCCTTCGCTTTTTGAATTAATCGTGTGGACGATGCTATGAAGCGGTCAGAAAGCGCAATATCCAGTCAGGGACCTGCATTACGAAGTGCGGTGTCGTTTGGTTTAAATAAAACAACTAAGTTGGCGACAAGGATCTCTTCATGCTGGCCTCTATCAAGTGCGTTGTGCCTGCATGGACTGATAGATTGCTGCATTCTGGCTGAGGAAGATTCAAGGCACTCTCATCGCTCAGAACAAGGCCGTATTCGTCTACCTGAGTGATGCAATGTATTACAAGTAATACGTTTGCACCCCGTAGTACGATTGCCGTTGAGCAAGCAGCGGAGCCTCCTCGGTGTGTTTGCTCTCTTATACTACCAGCCCTGTCGTTATCTGTCATATCACGTTGTGCCTGTATTCAATTCTGGAAGAAGCAAGCTGCTTGTGCCAATTCTCCGGTAGTTGTAGAAGCCGCCGCCAGGTTCACAGATGGGGGAATGACGGTGGACGGGTTCCAGCAGGACTTCAGTCCTAATCTGTCTATCATGTCAGTGACTTTGTAAAGGAAGTGCCTTTTCTCCCATTTCCCAGGCGATTGCGCCCTCAAACCCCCAAGGTCTTTGTCTGCTGTGAGGACGTTTCACCTACCAAGACAGTCTCCTGATGAGAACACTCGGTAGTCCACTGGCTAGGGGGCATTTCAGTCAGTCTCAACAGACCCAAGCAATTGAAAGACTTGACGACCCTATCGAGACCCCATAGTTTGTAAGGCCTGGCTCCGTTTGAAGGAATATGGTAATTCCCTGCGTAGATCAGTCAAGTGGTGGGTACGTGCCATGCGTAATATACAGGCTTACTGCAGTTATCCGCGCTGCAATAGAGGAGATGGTCTGGAATACCTGAAATGCATCCAAATCTATCCCGTCGACATTCTCTTTGCAGAGGCGACAGGAACCATCCCACGGAATCATGGCCGAAATTTCATCATATCTCGACTTTTGAGTATATGCAGCTCTCAGAAAGCATCTAACCCTTACAGCGAGGCAAACATTTGAGCCACCGTCACACGTATTATAATACTGCCCGCGTCGCCTGACAGCCCCGCGCTTTGATAATCGTTTCCTCTCGTTGAACCCGACCCTCATGTTGAAGATCGCCGCTTCCGACAGACGTACTAGACGCATTCGTTGACCATACACAAGTAATCTTTCCTGTCCCTCTCTTGCAACTTTCTCATCTATCCATCGAACCAGATCTATTCTTAATGGTAAGCCGGTGCCCACCCCTCTCTCCCATCAACAGCCTCTAAGAGCGGTCTAATATCAATCAGATGGTGACTCGAGCATATTACGATAATGAGGAGCCAGCGTTTGCCCAATACAGCGGCCGCGGGCATGGCTATCCTCTCAGCCATGAACGAGAGTTGCCTGCCAACCATGGTCCGTACGGGGGAGCTCGAGGTCATCAGCACGAAGCGCGCAACAATGGCCAGAGTCCCGAGCGAGAATCTGTTTCTTCACACCCAAGACGTCGAATTCCAGTTGCAGTAAGTCCGGCTACCAATCTTCCATGACAGGTCCTTAGATGCAGCCCGGTCTATTGGATCGAAGCTGATATGCCGGCAGTGCGGTCGCTGTCGAAAGCGGAAGATCCGCTGCAGTGGAGATCCGGGGAATGGCGGACCATGCTCGAACTGCAAGGCTGCAGGAAACGAGCAGTGTCAATTCTTGAGGGTAACTAAAGATGGATTCTGCTTGCACAGTCCTCTATGCTTACTTTTCCGATGCAGGTCTCATCAACTGAAGCACAGATGAAGAGCGATGCAGCAGATTTTGGTTACGATTCTGCCCCTGCAGTTCCCCGGACCAGTTGCCGTATGATTCAATACGGAACACAGACTTACGCGCCACAGCCGATTGCTTTGGGGCCAGATGGGTTCCCATATCGTCATAGTTCGCTTTCATATCCGTATCAAGGGAAGGGATACTATGGAATGCCATCTTACAGCGAATTTGCCGATGAGAACATCGACTACGGTCTGCAAAGTGCCTCCTATCAGCTCTTGACCCAGGAACATGTGAACATGGCATCAGCTTACTCCTCATCCGGAAGTGGGCGAGGATGGACTCCGGCTCCTCAGCTCCCAAAGACCACCCCGTTGTTTCTTGAGCAGGAGCCAGCATACAGCCATGGGCAGATGCCATATTCAAGCAATGGTTACGCACTTCGCCCAACGATAAGCCCTGAATCCAAGGCTATGTCTCTAAATAGCATGGCGGGCTCTCTCCCTGTTCCCCCTCCGATTAATGGTACGGATCGTGTATTGCCATTTCCGGCTCATCGTTCATCATATGTTCGTTCGAGCGAAGGCATGATCCCAACTCCGCAATCAGGTCGCAATCTGGAATGTATACAACCCTATAATGGGTTGATAGGCAACAACATTATGAGCAATTCCAAGGGTATTAACACCAACTCAGTATCAGAGAACGGGAACATATCCAGCTCCTACATCTCCCTCCCGCAGAGCAGTCCCGAAGCGATACCCGCAACCCACATAAACTATGGCACGCCTAATCTCTCCAGCAGCCAACAGCAGAACGAGATGTACAATCCCGGGGGTCATGATCGGCTCTACAACTCCAACAGCAACTCGTCGTCCGAGGATCTGCGCAGCGGTAGCTACGGCATCGTGAGCCCCGGCTCCAAGCGCCCATCTCAAAGCAGCCAAACCGACGGCACGATGTCGTCCCCCTCACCCGGGACTCTAGCTAATGGACACTCCTACGTACCTTACCATCAACAATCATATCCGGCACCCCCTATGGAGCTCAGCGGGGCTCACACCCACCGGGGATCCGTTGCGGGTATCCAGGCTGGTGCATGAATCGCCGTTCCTCCCCCCGCGTCGCCAAAACTCCAAAAGCTCATCTTTCAATTCTCTTTCTCCCCCTGTCGTCTGTCCCGTTCCCAATTTTTCCTTTGTGCATGCATAGTTCAGGTCGTTCCAGTCTGCAGGCGGCATATATCTTTGGTGTTTGTTCAAGCTATCTTTTCCCGACACGCGTGCACGTTTTCCAGAAGATTTTTGAACCCCCGAAAACGGAGTAGGGGAAGGTTGAAAGAGGGTGGGGGAGGTAGTAGAAAAATGAAAATAAAAGAGAAAAAAAGGGGGGGAAGAAAGGACCAGGCGTTGAAGGGAGCGGTGGGTATATGTACGATATCAAATTTCTGGAACACATGGAATAGGCAAGGGTGGGAGAGTAATAATAGCGGTGTATGGCTTCGGGGGGCAGGTTAATGGAGTTGGGAATTCAATGGTGTGCATTATCTATCACTGTCCCTGTCCTATATTCTTCCATCATTTATCACTTTTATGCTTCATCCGCTTTTCAACACCAACAACACCCTCCTATAACCATAACCATAACCTATTTATGATCATCAGCAAGAAGGGAATTAAAACAGGAGGGAAGATGAGATGAGAGAAGAAGATTCTGGTCTCTACATACGTTATCTATCTATCTATCTATTGTATAAAGACGACGACTGACATACTGACTGGCCTAATTTTGCTCACTCACCCTCCCTTATGTAGGTCCTGCTTCATCATGTTGATGTAGATATAAATAATGGATTTCAAACAATTCATTCCTTCATTTGTTATAAACTACCTAAGATACATAGCATCTACTCCAAAAATCAAAAAAAGGAAAAAAGGTAACCTCCTGGGAAATGACTTGTTGAGATTTAAGGATAAAGAGGAGAATGGGAGGTGGAAAAAAAGCGGGGTGGGGGGGGAGGGGGGAAGGGTTGGGGATTTAGAGATCTTGATTCATCTTCTTCGTTATATAGTTATACTTTCTAGGAAGTACTTTGAGTTGGGAGTGGGTTTTTGGAAGGAGGAAGTTGGGGGGAAGAGGGGGTAGTTTCGGGTATATCACGTGATGCTAATCCCACCGCTGTTGAAGCCAACTTTGACGAGCCGGATGGATGCGATGTGCAACAAAACTCCCATATCACGGGCCCAATGTCACATGATGCTAATCATAACGCCATCAAAACCAACGTTTAGCCCGCCCATGACAAGCGCTGATTCGATGTGCAACAGAACTCCTGTTTCCTCCCGTCGTGTAACACGGGCCCTGTATCACGTGATGATAGAAAAGGGGAAGCGAGGGGACATGGGATATCGCATTACAGTACAATATACTAAAAATAAAAACCGAAGAGAAGAACAAGGATACAAAAACCTACCCACTCTCCTTCACGATCTGTAGCAAGGCCTTAACATACTGCTCGACCTCCTTCGCGCCCTGAAGCGTGACGTCTCTTCGCCGGCCCTCCAAAACGATGTACGGGACCGAGTCTACGCCATTGCTAGCTTGCTCTTGGATGAGCTGCTTGGTTTCCGGCAAGTATTCGGAGGAGTCCGCGACCACTTTCTTCGCTTCTTCTTCGGAGATGCCCGCATCGGTGCAAGCTTGTACTAGAGTGGTGTCCGCCGAGGGGTGTTGCTCTTCTTCGAAGTACTGCCGGTAGAGACTGTTGATGAGAGCATCTGCCGTCTCGGGACCCCGGGTCTCCTGGAAGTATTGGATGATGCGGTGCGCAGGAAGCGAGTTAGCGACGCTGCCGCCGAACTTGTAGTTGATGCCGGCGGAGACGCCGTAGGCGGTCATAAGCGTGGTGTACATCTTCATCCTCTCCTCCGAGTCGCCATAACGGGTGCGCTTGTACCACTCATATTTAGATTCGCCGGCCTGACTGGCGGAGGGGTAGAGCTGGTAGGGGAGGTATTTGACGGTGAAGGTCACTTTGGACGAGGCGTCGCTTTCACGCACTTGACGGAGAGCTGGGCTTGGTCAGCAAGGCTTCGTGTGTATGGAACGATTTTCCATAGGTGTTTTGGCTGGTAAGAGACTGCAAGGAGTGCATCACGTGTGCTACCCATGGTATGACTTGTCCTGCCAAGCATACCTTACATGCTCATGGCGCACACCGCACGAAGGATGAGGAAAGGCACGAAAAGAAAGGGTCCGTCCGAAGCTTGCCTTCATCGAGCCTATGCAACGTTGCGCGACGTCAGTTGGGCCAATCCGACCTACTGCTTGGCACGAACCTGCGTTTTGCCAGATAGGTCCTGCGGGCGGTCAGCCAAGATATTCGTATTGCATCTGATATCCCCCGCATACGAGATGCGGGCGCTCTCAATCCTCCCTTGAAAGGGCATCAATGAAGCGAAGGATAAATAGACTTGCCAGGGACAGATGGTATCCAGAGTGAAGGTGATGGTTGAATTGTACATGACTGACAGCGATCTGAGCTGTGATGTCTGACGTCTGAGTCGAAGGTGGGGGAATACGAGGTCCCCTAGAAAGGATGTGAATGCCGTAGGTAGGCAGAGAGAGGAATGGTCGCTGATGGCGGACTGTAGTGGCGGAGATTTGGCTTATATTTAGAAACTCGAGAGACAAAGGAAGAATGATGTTGACGCTCCGTGAGAAAGCGAAGCTGAAGGGAGCATACAATGGAGGAGGTTGGTGGGCGGGGGAAGAAACGTGGAGGAGAGGAGAGCGCAGAGTTGTGCATCAAAGCCACACAGCCATTACAGAGACCCGGAATACCCCGCTGGTCCGGCATCAGCCACACAACACCAGCCACCCCGCCCACCTTGTCACCTTGTCAACCTGCCAACCTGCCAACGTAAACCCATGCACCAGCCACCCAAATAGTCGCAATCATTACAGTCGCCAAAGCAACACAACACCACTCCATACCCATACCCACACCCACTACACCCACTACACCCACAATCACCCACAATCACCCCCTCGACGACAAGGCCCGGGGAAACAGACAACCCTCCGTGATGCATCCTATTATTCTCTCCCCATCTGCCACCCTCAATATCCGATATCCATCATCCACGGCATATCCCCACCCTCTCGCACTGTGCATGACGGCATGCGCCTCTCAGAATAGCTGCACTGTCTCAGTCTGCCAGGATGTCGATCTGCCTCCATACGATAACGATACCGACGATCCAATGCTAACGGAGCAAGGGTCTCTGCCTGGCGCTGAGGTGATCCGGCCCAGAGATTGCCACACTCGTCTCCCCAGCTCCCTGCTGAGTACGTGGAAGGTTGGTCTTTTTCAGGTTTTAGTCGTCGGACACCATCCACACTTGTACGTGTATGCCGCCATGTACCCGATACCTTACCCGCAGAGGATTTGCCACCGTACCAGCTAGTACTGGTACTTGGCTGCTGCTCGTTGCTACTCCAACCTTGCTACTCTAGGACTATTGCTACTCTATAAAGAGTGGTGGTGGAGCACATTTCATGGGTATGTCCGCGTTGCTCCGCCACGGGCCTTGCGTGCGGGCTTTGCCTGGTCCTGCTTGACAAGTCGTTGCCCTCGTTGCCATGCCAAATGTTGCGCCTTGCCATTATCGCATGCATGTACGTCACGATCTGCCAGCCTCATGCTTTGTTCAGCTTTTCGGTGAAAATACGAAGAGAAAATTTATATATAGAAGTCCGGAGAGAGCAGGTATATAGGGTCAAGTGATTCCTTCCCGTGCCTCTCCCTCCCTTATCAACTCAAAAACACTCTCCCACATAACACTCCCTCTCGCTCTGCAAAGTCTTCGTTTTGCTCCAGACCATCACCGTCGTTACGAGACAGAAACACTTTCGCAACATATCAATCTCTACTAAAGTCGACTTTAACCTACACCCTCGTCCTCAATCAAAATGAAGTTCTTCTCCACCCTCGCTGTCGTTGCCACCTCTGTCCTGGCTGTCCAGGCAACCGAGTGAGTATTCTGTTATCAGTCTTTCATCTCTTCACTATGCTAACATATCTCCAGTAACTCCTCAGTTGTCATCCCTCCCGCTGGTACCGGCATCGTTGGAACTGGCACTGGCTACCCGCTTCCCACTGGCGGCAACGGCACCAACAACGGCGGCAGCGGCGGTTCCCCAACCAAGACTCCAATCGGACCAACCAGCACCATCGTGCCCGCCAACGGCGCCTCTGCCAACAACGCAGGCTCTGCCCTGGCCGTGCTCGGTCTGGCCGTCGCCTACTTCCTCTAAGCGCATGGCGCTGGATCTCTTCATTCATCCATCATGACAATTTCGATTCTTAGCGGTGGCGTATAGAAGGCGCGGCATATGGCGCGGCATTTGTGATAGAAACGAGAGGATTGGTATCCCGTGTGCAAGGAAAGGCAAAGGACGGCGCTTCTAATTCTTTTTCATCATGACCCAGAAAAGGGTTCTCCGAAGGAACGGATGACACCATCTGGGGGTTTAATGTACGAGTATGATAGCATGATACGATGGCATACCATGAGGAAAGGCATACACACTTTTTTGGCATAATTTTGCATCGGGAATATTGGGACCAATCCCTTGGCTCCCTGGCGGCGTTTTCTCGGGCGCTGGCTTGGCTTATAGAGCCTGGCGCAGTTAGATAAGGTTAGATAGATAAGGTAGATAGATATGGAAATCAACGAAGGAATAATAATATCACATCACATCAACATTACCTTATCATACCTTATCATTGCGCAGCGTTCTCTTATCAAATGATTCTTTCCCTGCTTCATATCACATGATCCTCCCCTCCTCCCTCCTCCCTCCCCAAAGACATCTTCCCGTCTCAAGCGTACCTTACCTACCTAGATTCCTTCTAGATAGATACCGCATCCCATAGTCCATCAACCCCAAATATATACCTAGGCATCTTACCTTACCTTACTTAAGCATAAGGTAGGTAGGTAAGCTTATCCAAGATTCCTTTCTTTCTTTGGTTAGAGAGTGTAGTTGATAGATGGGTAGATGGATGGATGGCGTGTGGTGAGTTATTAGTTGCGGACGGATTGGGATTGGGATTGGGATTAGGATATAGGGGTGAGAGGGAGAGAAATGAAATGAAATGAATGCATCAAATCATGAATTCGTATCTCATGTCAAGGGAGGTTTATAATACAATACAAAATTCAAGAACCTTGCGTCTCGGCAGTCGGGGTGTGATTCTCATTCTTCCTCTTGACCATGCGTACCCATCTGCGTCTCCGCCAGTCGCCTCTACGACCGCGCTCTCCCTCGACATCGCTCGCTTCTCCCCAGCTGGGCAAGGACTGCATCTTGAGGCCCTTGCCGCGAGTCGTCGGCGTTTCGACGTCCGGGCTCGTGTCGTCCTCGGCGTCGTAGCGGATATCGTAGACCCAGCGCTCGCCCTCCGTCTCGACCTCGACGCCCGTGATGATGCGCTCCTCCACCCACTCGCGGCTCCAGAGATCCAGCGTCCATTTCTTCTCGCTCCACTCCCATCCCTTGGGCGGCTGCACGTCTTCGAAGAAGCGCGTGCCCCGCGGCCGGTCAGACTTGATGCGCGCCTCCGACAGCGGATCGAACGGCGACGCCGAGAAGACCCAGGACTCCCACTCGCCACCGGCCGACCGCCGCTGCAGCTCGAAGATCTCGACCTCCCGGGATTCCGGCGGTGAGTCGAGGATGATGTCCCGCGCGATCCAGCTGTCGAGCCAGGATTTCGCTTGCTCTTCGTGTGGCGCGACGTGCTCTTCGTGCGTGCTCTGCATCTGTCGTTGGATGGTCGGGTGACCGAGTCCCGTGATCACCCAGCCGATGATCAGGAAGATGAAGCGCCAGGGGATGAGGTGACTAGCTACGAACATGAAACCGGCGGTGGCGAAGGAGAATAGGAATACGGTGCTCGAGAGGGGCTCGTTGCTGAAATTTGTAGATGGTGTGACTACAGAGATTATATGGTCGTGCAGGCGGCTGAAGTCTTCCATGCAGTTCTGGAGATCCCGCATGTTGCGGAAGAAGTCTCGGGAGAGCTCCTTCACGGGCTTTACGGTAGGGGCGGGGGCAAGAGGGGGCCCGGTCGTGCTGTACTGGAAGTTGTGGGAGACTGTGGTTGGCGGGGCAGGGTGGCGAGCTATGAAGGCGGGTATGAGGAGGGCTAGGAGGATAATCGCAAATGGGAGCACGAAGATAAGGTATGGGTCGAGGCAGATGAATGTGTAGACGGCGAGGAAGGAAAGCGTATGTGAGTATTGTCTCCAGGAGAGGATACGGTTGACGCGAGCTTGGAAGACAAAAACGACACCAATGCGAGCATTGAAGCGCCGGAAATTGGTAGACATTGTTGTGATATTGAATGAGGGGCGTTCAGTCTGGGCCAGGTCCCGCAGCTCGTTCTCTCTGCTGGAAGGGAGATCTTCGACGGGGATCACTTGTTGCAATAACCTGCACCTGTCAGTACAATATCCAGGGCTCAAAGAATGTTGAGATATACCTCTCAAGCAACCGGTCTTGCATGCTGGGTCCATTCTTAGATTCAGACCCCCCGTAGCCTTTCAGGAAGCTCTCCTTGAAGCTCGTGGTATGCTTCTTTAAACGGTCTCGTTTTCGCTCATGGTGTGTTCCATTGTCGGAGTCTTCAGCTACGTCTGAGAGGTCGTTTGTGTTTCCCGGCGCAATCACTGGCAGAGGTTCATCGCGGTTGACAAAGGCATCCACGGTATATTCATCCATGTTGACGCTGTGATTTCGAGAAAAGAGGGAAGGCTTTGGATTGTTCGGACCGTACGTCGAGGATGATAATGGAGGTGAAGGCCCTGGGAATCTGATGATGGTTCGTTCCTACGCCGCCCGCGGTGAGCCAACAAACAGTGGTCAACACTGATCAGAATATGAGGTGCTCAGTAGAGAACAGCTGGGGTGAAGTATGTATCCGGCATCTCAACAGTCGCTGGTCATCGTGGTTCGTGACATCGCCATGGTCGGGTGGTGGCGCTTATCCTGCTCTATCATAAGCGCCAGGCCGCGGCTTGGTCCGTTGAGGGTTTGGGTTCGCCATTTCCAGGGCAAGATCAGCACGGTTGGCACTTTACTTCCTTCGGGAAAGTAGCCTCCTCTTCTGGCAAAGCACGGCCTTTAGAGGCTTTAGGTCCCCTTTAGAGTCTAGAGGCTAAACGTCTCGAGTCTACTCCGTAAACACTAGAGGCTAAACAGCCTTCGTCATGCACCTAATCGGGATGGTTGGATCCGGGAACCCCTTTTCTTTTCCCGGTCAAGACCAGGGAAACCAGAACCAGACCCTCAGGAAATCTAGAACTTGTCTTTGATAATGGGGAAAAAGAAAAGAAAAAGGTATTACAGTAGGCAAATAATTCCTTGGTGGTCCAGCCACGTGCATATATATGTACAGGTGAGGTATATATGACATATCCTCACCTGATAGCAACAAGGCACAGAGCTACTATACATTTGATGATCGTGACTCCAGAGAGCGTAAACAAGGCCGTAGCAATCCCTGACCGACAATCCCCTGGATAATAAATAACCGTTGTTGGGTTTGATATTGTGTGTGATTACTCCGTATAATATCTGCCCCATCGACGTCCCCTATAGGCCAGCTACGATAGTCCCGCTAAACCCCTGCATTGCACATCTCCAAGTCAACCACCGAACTTCAACCCAGCGTGAGGGAGATCAATTTCGCGACCACGGCCTCTTGCATCCAGAGGACAACATTCCTACCCCCAATCCATGGTCCCGGCATCTTCAATTCACCTCCTCTCCACCAGTTCGAAGGCTGCCCCGCTCGTCGCTTCGGAGACGTCGAGAACTCCGCAACCACCTTTCCGAACAGAAGTGGGCTCGTGTTGACCTACATCCTCAACTCCCACGTCTCCCACGATTCCCACGTCGGCCCCGTCTGCGAAGCCCTATGGACCTCTGGTGAGATGAAATAGCCCTTCGAACGCCTCGGCCCTTGGAAGGACTGAGCTTCAACAGGCAAATCTCACCCCGAGCAGACTCCGTGCTCGAAGTCTGAGGTCGCATATATGATTCGAGAAATGACAGCTCCCCCAGTTCCCAGACCGGGCTTCTCCCCAACAAAATCGTGAGGCAATCCCATCTTCTCCCAAATTCTATCTGTGTATATCACGCACTAATCAATCCATATCGCAGCCTTGAAAATTCTGACCCAGCTACAAGACCACGGGTACCCACCGGGAGAAACCCGACGCTGAATTCCTCAGGTCGAAACAGTCACAACCTGCTCTCCTTTGGGGCAATAGACGATAACACGAGTGGATCCTCCAATTTCTTGCCTTCCCCTAGCTTTGACGACCTCCAGAGTAGCATATCGAATGATATCCACAACCGTTTTCCTGCACCGGGCGGTCACAATAAGATAATCGGGGGAATACGCCAGGTCGAACCTATGGATGCATCAAGCAACGAAGGGCGAGGGACAGCAACTGTCAAAGCAGTATCTGGACCTCGCCCCCTCCGGTCAGGGTCGATAGTCCGGCGGCAGAGTACGTCGACTCGGCAGAGCAGTATCTCTTCTACAACTTCGGGGGGATCCGGGCCCATGGATCCTCCAACCGCACATCTGGCCGCGCGGACCCGACGTCAAAGTCAATATCCCCCCCTATCAGGCAGCGGTGCTGCTAATGGGCCTTTCAAGAATCCTCGAAAATCGATAGGACCCGGTGTGGTTGATTCTGATTACTCGAGACCAGAACAAAGACGACGTCCAAGTCTGGTCTCAAATTCATCTGCACAGGGGTTGGCAGACGCTGCGGGGTCAACTCGACTGAATATTGGAAATGGGGGAAACTATGAGGGGGCTCAAAGACTCACTGTTTCCAGGGCCGCGAAGGCCAAGTCGCTCCAGCCACCATCGAGACAAGGCCAAGCTCATTTGACTGTCAGTACCCCGGAACACAGCAGGTCACTATCATTTGCTGGCAGGGCACCTGTTCGAGTTAACGGCCAAGGAACAAGCACGCCATCCTTTTCGGCAAAGCGGGTATCTGTTATGCCTGGAATGCTGCAAGGCGCCCATGCAACTGGACTGGGTGCAAGGACTGTCAGTCCTACAGATGCGAGAAGAGCGAAACGATTATCTGTCTTGCAGACCGCACCCCCATTGAAAAATGCACCCCCGATTCCGAACACTCCTCCAACACCTCAGCCTGATACACGAAGGTCATCTCGATCGCCCTCAATGCTGCCGAGGAAGACTTCGGTAACGCCGTCATCTTCAAGAACAACTCCAGATATCAATCGTAAGTCTTTCAGCTCTGGCCTCTCGATTTGGTCCAATGCAAGCCATAACACTTCTCGCACATCTACAGGCTCCTTGCAACCTCGAGCGCCACAGCCGGTTGCCTCGTCCAGGTTACCCACACCAAAGGCAAGGGGTGTGCATAGTGCAGCGGGGAATAATGAAGAAGAGGAAGTTCCTCCAGTTCCCGCAATACCCAAAGCGTACGAATCTCCTAAGGACTCGAATGTCGAGGCTGCATTTTTCAACAGGCGCAAGTCGAGTATGCCGTTTGATGCCAGCAGTATAAACAGCACCTCGACAAACAGCTTGTCCGGGAGGGGTTCAGCTCGAGAACCCATCAGATCTGAGCGGGAATCGAAGCCCCGGCAGCCTGTCTCTCACAGTTCAACTTCAGATGTTGATCAACAGAATAATGCTACACCTATAAAGAAGAAGAACCTGCAACCCCTGCGGCTCCCTCCTTTAAATCTACTGCCTTTGAGTACCCCCACCACTGCCAAGATTGCGGCTTTGCAAGAGACATCTCTTTCCGATGGACAGACCACACCCCCGCCTCGCCGAGCTGCCCCTACAACTCCTAGCACTCCAATGACGGCATCAAAAGCATCATTCCTTTTCCGTAATCGCCCTGGCGAGAAAGGCGAGACAGATACGCAACATGTGCGGAGCAACAGTTCTATCCGTCACGTTCGCTCGGAGTCGTCCTCGCAAATATATGCCAGTAGCTCCGAATCGTCAAAGCCAATCTCCATAAACAGCCGGACTGCAAGACAAACAGTTTCGCCGTTTGTCTCTTCCTCCCTCCCGAAGCATAATGGGGAGCACTCTTACATGCCTAGGTCCAAAACGAGCGGAGATTTCACTAATATGGACACTTCTCTGGATATTCGGCCTGCACGACTCACTGGTCCACGTGCCCAGAAAGTCAACAAACCGTCAAAAACTGAAACGCCCCCTGCCCCTGAGATCTCAAGCCCCGAGGAGCTCGCGACACCATCTTCAGGGACTTCAATACGTCGAAAGCTAAGTCTTAGTTGGAAGAGAAACACGTCAAAAAGTAATATTAGTATTTCACACGCAGCCAGCGAGCGAGACTTGGAATATGCTCCGCAACCTCCAAAGCATGAAAATATGCCACCTCCGAAACTCCCTGCGTCTGCTACGATGAACAATCTAAACACTGTCACAGTGCCTAGCCCTAGCCTCTCTATTAAGTCAACAACTTATCTGGACTCGAAGCGAAGAAAGAGTTCGGCTTCGAGCATTACTTTGCCGAACGGTCACGACAGGACGAGAAGCGATAGTTGGGGTGTTAATGGCAGTCCAAAGAGAGATCCAAACGAATCGAAGCCCGAAAAACCTGCTGTTCCTCCAGCATCAGCACGTACAAGTTCTTCTGCTTTGCACAGAATGCTGAACACCAAACCTTCTGTGAACAACATGAGCGCGGCGAGGACTACTGACCCTTGGACCATGGATCTTGACAAAGATGACTTAATAGCCGAAGAAGAGATGAGGAAGCTTGGTTCGAAACGCAAGGAGACTGAGGTCGCGGCTAGGCAACTGGATGCGCTTCGAAAGCGTGCTACACCCAAGGAACGTGTATCACCCCAGCAGGCTATCCAGATGGCCAATCTCAACATCTACGAGCGCGGCGAGATTGTGGATTACAAAGATATCTACTTTTGTGGAACCAGTACTGCTCCTAAACATGTGGGAGAATTGAGTGCAGATGCTACAAACTTTGGTTTCGATGACGAACGAGGAGACTACTCGATTGTCCTTGGAGATCATCTACTCTATCGTTACGAGGTTATTGACTTACTTGGAAAGGGTAGTTTTGGTCAAGTGGTGAGATGCATTGATCACAAGACTGGCGGACTTGTCGCTATCAAGATTATTCGAAATAAGAAACGGTTCCACCAGCAGGCATTGGTGGAGGTCAACATTTTGAAGAAGCTGCGCGAATGGGTAAGTCTTCTCAATTCTCTCAGCGCCACTTATCTAACGTGTTTTAGGATCCTCAAAATAAACATAGCATGGTCAACTTCACGCAGAGCTTCTACTTCCGCGGCCACCTTTGCATCTCTACAGAGCTTCTTGACATGAACCTGTATGAGCTCATCAAATCCAACGCCTTCCGCGGATTCTCCTTGAAGATAGTCAGGCGATTCACCAAGCAACTCCTGAGCAGTCTCGTGCTACTGAAGCAACACAAGGTCATTCATTGTGATCTGAAGCCGGAGAATGTTCTTTTGGCTCATCCTCTGCACTCGGAAATTAAGGTCATCGACTTTGGCTCCAGTTGCTTTGAGAATGAGAAGGTCTACACTTACATCCAATCTCGCTTCTATCGATCACCAGAAGTTATTCTTGGTATGACCTATGGCATGCCGATTGATATGTGGAGTCTTGGCTGCATCTTGGCAGAACTATACACTGGAGTTCCTATATTCCCTGGTGAAAATGAGCAGGAGCAGCTTGCATGCATTATGGAAGTGTTTGGTCCGCCGGAAAAACACCTGATTGAGAAGAGCTCGCGCAAAAAGCTTTTCTTTGATTCGCTGGGAAAGCCTCGTCTCACCGTGTCTTCCAAAGGACGCAGACGTCGACCTTCATCAAAGACGCTTCAGCAGGTTCTTAAATGTGATGATGAAGCTTTCCTTGACTTTCTCGCACGCTGTCTACGCTGGGATCCCGATCGCCGAATGAAACCGGAAGAAGCTATTAGACACGAATTCCTTACTGGCCAAAAGTCATCCATGGCACCTATGCGAATGAATCCTCGAAACGAGTCTCCTATCAAGCGACACAACACCATTACAGTTCCAGCTAATGCCAACAGACCTCTTCCAGAGCCGCCAGCGAATACTCTTAAGATTAATGCAACGGTCAGAACACGAGAGAATTCTGGACCTAGTCCGACCAAGAACCCTCCAGCGCCAGCTCGCCGAACCTCAAACATCAACGGCTTGAGCAACACGACTGGCACTAGGCGCACGAGTACTGGCATTAGCGCATCGACAGGCCCCGGAGCTAGTAGTTTACCCAGAGTGACGACGAGGAGTGTCAGTGCTCGACAGGAGATAGCCGCGACAGGAGCAACAGCAGCAATGAGTCGGCGCGCATGAGGATGATGGAAATGACGAATGCATGTTTGGGTATAGGTACATATGAAAGCGCGGGTCTAGATGGGTGGCATAATTACTTTTCTTTCTAATGAGCATAGCTTGCGAGGGCCTTTGTTGTTTCAGCATCACCATACCCTTTCTTTCTTTACACGAGCTAGAGTTCCGCTTATTTCGGAGCGGGGAGGTTGCAAGATGCTGCTGGCTGTGACTTGCTTCTTGACGAGGCGTTTGTGGGGTAGTATCGAGAAATATGGCCGAAGAGCGTTGTGCTTGTCGAATGGATGAATGTATATTAATGTTGCCAGGCTGAAAGGATTGCCTTGGGAGGAAAACAAAAGAGACTTTTAGAGTGTCATATTGACACTTCCTTTGTACAATTTATCTGCTCTGGTGTGAATTGCATAGTCCAGTCCCCATTCTCATCTTTATAGTAGTCTTTTGTGTAGGTAGGCACTGTTCATTTGACCAAGTCCTGTTCTTTGGTGAAGTCCAATCTCCGGGACGATGATGGGATTCATGCCATAAGCTCCGTATTAGTGACGTAAACATGGCGAATAGTTGGACAGTCAGTACTTTAGAACTGGTTACGGTCAGGCTTTTAGAAAACTACGTCCTCTCTGAATATGGTATCTTACGATCTTCGCGATGCGCATTTGGTTCTAGTGCACGTGATCTACCCCTGACCCCTGTCGGTTACCGTTCGCATTGTTTACATTGGAGCGTACATTTGAATGTGCATAGCAACGGCTATCATTTCCGTCGCCGAACCTCAAAATTGTCTTCCTCTGTACAAAAAAGCCCAGCATAGCTCACAGCACACGAAGTCTACACATGGGAACAAGGAACTCGATCTCTCCCAACCCCGCAAGAATCTCGAGGACACCATGGAGTCCGACAACTTAAAGACCGCGTCGCTCTACATAAACAACCAGCTCCTCTCCCGCGGACTCCTGCGAAATGGGCAGAATATTGACTTTGCGCGACCCGACAAGGGAGAGGGAGGTATGGAGGCTACAATGGGGAGAATAATGGGCGTGGTGAATGATCTGATCCTGCGACGAGATGTACGACCCCTTCAACCCCCTCCCACAGCACGTGCATACCTAACACTCAGCAGCGCGACGCCACGCAGCGCGAGAGTCTCTCGCAAACGATCCGCACGCTGCGCGCAGATTCTCTGCGGCAGACGACGGATCTGGAGCGCCTGCAAACGAAGCACGCCGAGGCGCAGCGGAAACTCGGGGTCGCGGAGGCGACGGAGCGGGCGCTGAAGCAGCAGCTGCGCAGCGCGGAGCAGGTCGCGCGCGGTCTGAAGGAGGAGATGGCACGCATGAAGATGCTGGTGGCGCAGACGCGGGCGCAGTGCGCGAACGAGGTGCGGAAGCGGGAACGGACGATCGAGGGCATGAAGAGACATGTGACGGAGAGTGGACGGGCGCGAGGCACGGGCAAGACGGTCGGGGTGGTGAGCATCAATGTCACGGCGGGCGTTGGGGCGGAGGGGGGTGGCGGGAATACAGTTGGGACGGAGGAGGCGGGGTATGATTTGAGGATGGAGACGAACGAGTTCTTGACGGAGTTGGCGAGGGGGTTGAGTGAGGAGAACGAGAATATGGGGGCTTTGGTTAGGAGGACGGTGGAGACGCTGAGGACGCTCTCGGGATATGAGAAGGAGGGTGTGCAAGAGGGAGGCATGGTGGTGCAGATGGAGAGTGGCTATGAGAATCTTTCTGCGGAGATGGATGTTGTGATTGAGCATGTGAGGAATCTCTTGACGAACCCGTCCTTTGTGCCACTGGAGGAGGTAGAGGTCAGAGAAGAAGAAATCATACGGTTGAGAGCGGGATGGGAGAAGATGGAAGCAAGATGGCATGAAGCTGTTCAAATGATGGATGGATGGCGGAAACGGATGGCCACGAGTGGTCAAACCGTCAATCTGGAGGAGCTGAAGATGGGTCTTCGCCTAAGTCCTCTCAAAACCAAGGACGAGGACAACAAGAAGCCCTTTGAGTTATCAACCCTTATGGAAGATGGGGAAGGCGATACTCAAGCAGATATCGATGCAATGGACGACACAGATATGCAGGTTCCTGAGGAGCCGGATTTCGATGACGGAGATTCCGATGGTTCTGATCCAGATCTTCTCGAAGAAGAGGCAACTGAGGAACAATTCGACGAGGTGTCTGAGGAACAACCTCAAGATTTCTCACTCAACACAGTACCATCATCCTCTCCGGGTCCCCCGCCACAACTATCTCCACTCCGAGAAACGACAAATGGTAACCGAGGAGTAAGCTATCAGCAACATGATGCGTTTACTACAATTGTTGAGGAGAACACCCATGACCTTCTTGAAGCAAACCCCCCATCCGTGCAGAAGCCTAAATCAACACCGGAGCCAGAACATCAGGATAGAAAGAGCCAGATCCCAGCACCACCGGAGGACGAAGTGTCCTTAATCAAAACATCCAATATACAGAAGCAACCAACACCAAAGAAACCCTCAAATCCAACGCCCACCATCAGACCTACTTCTACTCCCAGACTGAAGGAAAATTCTGGGAGCAAATTACCGAGGCCGCGAGAAGCACTTCCTCAACAGAGCCCGTTGACAATGGCGTCTATTGCAGCGAAATTGGCGGCCACGGAACGAGAAGCAGATGCGGCGAGAGTAAGGGCTAAGATTAAGGCTGCTCGGATGAAGAGCGCTGCGAACGCAGAGGCAGTGAGGCTGATGCCTCCTCCACCGAAAACAGAACGAGATGAAGTGGAGCCGTCGAAAGCAGAAAGGGGGGATCAAGAGGATGCGAGTAGAGATAGAGAGGCGAGAAAAAGGAAAGCTTCAGCACGGCAGGGCGGAAGAGCGAGCCGGAGAAGAAGCACGCTGAGCCCGTGGGAGCTGGAGAGCTTGATTCTAGGGAATGTGGGTACTGGAGCGGAATAGGTATTGCACTGGGCGGCGTCCGGGAGGCTTGTTTTGGAAAATACTTTCATGATTTGATGAATGTCTAAACGCTGTCTGTCTTAATACTATGAGCATGACCATTTACTTCCTCCATCCAAAGACTCCACATCATCCACTCCCGAGTTCCCTCCTCAAAATACGCTCATCTATAACTTGGCATTGGTCTTTGGCATAACCGCAATCCTCGGGTGGTCACCAGCCAACTTCAAACCCGTCAACTCTTCCAACTGGTCGACTGCCTCAAACGCCCGTCCCAGATGAACCTTGATCGTGCGAAACCCTCTCGCCTTAGCCGCCTTCAGATTCTCCCCAATATCATCCAAGAACACGACCTCCTCGGCGCTAACGCCACGCTCCCAACCCCTCGTATCCCGATCATCCCTCCCAACATTCTCCCTCGCAAACCTATCCAGCTCCCTCAGCGCAAGATCATAGATCCTGGGCTCGGGCTTCCGCATGCCGACGTGGGCCGACGAGATGAACAGATCGAAGACGGCACGCACATCATCGTGCGCGGTCGCCAACGGGTGATCGCTCGGATATATCACGGTGTTGGACAGCGCGGCGAGAATGTAGCGGCCGCTCGCGCGCAGCTTCTTCAGCGCGGGGAACATCCAGGGGTCCGGATGGCGCGCGGCCGTCATCATGGACCAGAAGAGTTGCTCGCCGTCGATGCGCGGCAGCGGGGGGGTGGTGGCGGGGAGTGAGGGATCCCGGGTCCGTGCCTGTGCGTAGAAGGTGTCCCAGAGGCTGGCTGAGTGGAGATCCTGGGTGAAGCCGCGGAAGAAGTGCGTGTCCATGGGGAGCTCGCCGCGCTCGAGGCGCTGCCAGTACCCGTTGGGACTGCTTTTGGAGATGCAGGTGTTGATCCAGCCCGGGGGGATGGAGTGCGAGAGCTCGTAGTCGAGGATGGCTTGGAAGGGGGAGAGGACCTGAGGGGTGGAGGTTAGTTTGGAAAAAGGGGTTTCCTAGGAGGATTTTAAAAGGGGGAGAAAAAGGAGAAAAGAAAAGGGGGGGGGGGGTGCTTGCGGTCTGAAATAGGAAATGCTGAAAGAATCATATTTTGAGATTCTAGGTCCATCCTCTTTGAAAATAATATGAAAAAGTATGTATATTTTTGAAACATTTCAACTTTCGCTCATAGACATACGACCGAAGTCAGTTCCGGGGTAAAGAGGGGAAAAGAGGGGAAAGCATGGCAGCGGGTTATGAGATTGGAAGACTTTCAATCTCAGATCGTTATAGATAATACCACAGGAAAAACCACCGTTTCAAGAACAGTAAAACAATGGCATAGGACAAAAGAATCAAGGATATACTAACACAAACTCCGCCGATATCAAAAAGTCTACGACTCTGTTAGCCGACAGTTGATCCAAAGGGCAACTTTTCCTGGAACAACGTACAAAACTTTTGGCTGGGGATTTGCCGGCGCCATCATGGATTCTATGCCGTCTAAAACAAGTTCTACGGGATAATCTTCCTGCGACAGCTAAAGAGAAATACTTTGAATGCAGAAGGCTGAATTCGAAGGGACCATTCAAGCTTCACTCTGTCTGTGCCTCGGCTCCAGATAACAGTCTAGGCGACCTAAAGAGGCCTAGCGCAAACACGAACTAGACCCCCAAGTTTAAACTAAGGAAATTCCGACGCGTCGCCTCCACATCGAGAAAACCGCCCTCCTCCAAAGACCTATCGCCGCACCGTTCCTCTTTCGTGATAGGACATCACACTTCCACAATGAGGCTCCGACTCACAGTTAGGCGCCATGGACTGCCACCAACGCCGGTGGTTTGGAACGTTGAATTCGAGGAGACCACCATATCTCAGCTGCTCGAGCAGGTGAATGAGGCGATCCCGCTCGAGTCGGGAGAATGGGGATTGGAGGATTATGCCGTGGAGTTGCAGGGCAACCATGGTCTTAATTTTGAGTGCTTGCATTATCAGCTGGTCGGGAAGGTCATGAAGGACGATGATGAGGTTGTGTAAGACTACCTAACCAAAATTCAATTGATACAAATTCTAATATCTCACTGAAGCATTCGACCCCTCCTTACCCAAGATTTAAAAATACGCAAGATATCAGGAAGGCATCAGATTTCGTCCGACGGCAAACATCTAGTAGATGGGCTTGCGTTTGGAAGACCACTTCTGAGGAGACCCGCCGATCGACCTGCCATCAATATCCCCCCACGAAAACGGCGAAGGATCACATATCATGAAGACGAGGATGATGACGATCTGAGCTTGCTTGCTCTCAAGGACCGTGAATCGGTGGAGAGCGAGGATTCAGACAATGATGTGAACCGCGATCGACAGTTGGTCCTCCACGCTGATTTCGAAGATGATGATGAGGAAGATGATGAGGATTTTGCACCTGACGATGATAATGATGACGAGGAAGAGGAAGACTTGGAGGAGGAGGAGGACGCTCAGTCTGTATCAGATGAAGGCCAACAAATGGAGGACGAGGCCGAAGCTGAATCAGATGAGGTCCAACAAATAGAGGATGAGGATGAGGATGAGGACGAAGTCTCTGAGGCTGAATCAGACGAAGACCAACAGGTGGAGGATGAGGAAGAGGAACAAGAGGCAGCAACCGAATCTCAGGGTCAAGATGATTCAGACAATGATGCACTCCGCGACGTCAAGGACACATCCAGACGAACGATGATTCGTAAGTTACATTCAGCATTTCCTAATTCGCCTATCGCGGTTTGCAAATACGTCCTAAACGGCTCTGATGGGGATCTGGGTGAGGCCTATGAGGCTATGGCTCGAGGATTCAGATCTGTTAAGCCAAAGAGTGCAATTACCGAAGCCTCCCAAGAAAGCAAGTCAGTGCAAAAAGTTCGTTCAAAAAAGACTAAGAAAGCCTTGAAGGAGTCCTCAACGGAGCCCGAAATTCAAGCTAGCATGCAGGCCGAACCAGACGAGAGCCTGAATCCATTGCTTGAGTATTATGACCAAAATGGTTTGCCCAAAGGTTCTATCAAATCGGGGAAGGCCCTGTCGCACATGGCGGAAGTTTTGCAAAGCGGACCGCGCCCGAATTCCAGAAGCTCAATCGCTAGCGGCAAGAGTGTCGCATTTGCGGATGAAAGCCTGTCCAACGGACTTACCTCAACGCCGTTCATCGACCGGGAGTCACAGATATACAAGGCTGAAGATGACAGCGACTTTTCCAGCGAAGAAACGAGTAGCAGTGGTAGCAGCGTTAGCAGTTCATCTAGCGAAGAGGACTCAGATAACGCAGAGGTTTCGGATACCACTTCATCTGGGAGCGACGAGAGTGAGAGCGAAAGCGAAAGCGAAAGCGAAAGCGAGAGTGATAGTGATAGCAGCAGTGACTCTTCCAGTGACGAAGATTCAGCGCCCGAGGAGGAGTCAAGTAAGCCGAGCTCTAATATTTCGGCGAGTCCTAGGAAGGGGCAGGAGCCATCGGCACAAGACATTGCTGCCAAGCCGATGCCCGCTGAGCCGGTACCACCAGGGCAAGGTAAAAAACAAACCAGGGCGAGGAATCGTAGGAGAAGAAATTTAAACCTTCTCAACAGGTTCAAGGAGAAGGGCCTTTTGCCTGCTTCCCTCACGCTAGCCGAGTTCAATAAGCTGAATATAAACGACAAGACAACGGATGAACAGATCATGGCTTCCGCAAAGACCGTTCAATCTGTTGCAAATGCGGATGACGAATTCCTAGCGCGAAGACAACAATTGCTTGATTCGATCGCCTCTGGTGGTGTTGAGGTTGGCCAAGAATTTTCGGGAAGAGCAACAAAATCACCTGTGGGTGCGGTCGGTACTTCTACGGCCAAGCTTTCATCCTCAGCTACGAGTCATACACCCGTCGCTGCTGATTCGGAGCAGAGTGATAAATCAGTCTCTACAGCTCAAGAAGCCCAGGTGTCTATCTCAACTCCAGAGGTATCAGGAGAGACAGCTCAAGACGCTGTTTCGGGGCCCGGTTCAAAGGAAGCCGGTCTTGGTGTTTCAAATCAGTCAGAGTCTACCACTCCTGTAGAATCAACAGAAAGCAGCGTGGCTCCTGCGCGCCGGGGTAAGCTGAATATTGCTGCTGGCCGCCGATTACTATTCGGGGCCTTGGGAATGAAGAACCCAAAGACAAAGATGGACGAGGAGAAGCTCCGGAACGATCTGATGAAGGACATTAAACCCCTTCCTGTTCCGAAATCTGTCGAGGAACCAGCTCCCACTGCCGATGAAGAGGCTGCAGATGAAGATCCAGAGGCATGGAGAGACGCAATCACTTATCGAGCTGTCGAATGTTGCTATGACGGCGTTGAGTTGAGCGAACCACCTTTCCCCTTTGTACAGCGCTGGGACCCTCAACAGCAGGGTGGTTGGTCACAGCAAGGCAGAGGTGGTAAGAGGAAGAAGGACCAGAGAGATCAGCCTCAGTACTACGATGAAAATCAACGAGCATCCAAGAAGCAGAAGAGGCGCATGGGCAAACAAAGCTACGCCAAAGAACAAGAGTATTTGGACGCTTCGTACGAACCTAGCTACCAAGAAGACTCTTCGATTGCTCTTGATTACGACGAGCCAACCCAACATACAACGCAACCAAGTGATGTTGATGGTGAGGTTAACCAGCAGCTGATGAACGATCTGAACGATGAAGAGTCGGTTGATGTCAGTCAAGTACCTACAGATTTGGCTCCTCTTCCTGAAGATCCCTCAACTCTCCCTGATCTCAAGGCTGGCGAGGCTACGCCGGGTATGACTATTGCCTTCCAGCAACTCATCATGTCTGAAGCTACGAAATGGCAACCGCAAATATCGCCATACCGCACTGCCATCGTGATCGCAACTCCAGAGAGCGGAGAGCTCCATCTCACACTTGCATTACGCGACCGACAGCGGCCCGAAAAACACTACGACGAGGAGACTGGTGACAGGATTTATGGAAAGTTTGACATCCCCCTAGAAGATGAGCAGGAGGAAGAGCCAGAAGACGATGGGATGCTTAATTTGGGGTTCAGCGAACTGATCAATCCTAAGATCGTTCAAAATGCCCCAGAAGATCTAGTGGACGACGAGATGGGGGACGATGCCTTAGCAGCTGATGACGAATCCGATTCTGACGATTCTAGAACTGGGAACCCAGAGAAAGGACACTCGGAAGAGCAATTTTCTCATGTTACCGAAACACCCTTGGAGCCAGAAATCCCGGAGTCTGATCTGGAACAGGACGCTAACCCAGGAGAGAAAGAACTCAGTAATTCCGGACAGGAACCTAAGTTGTCAGTGGAAGGGTCTAATGTACGGGAGCAAAACTCTCAGTTGTCAGAACAGCAGTCTAACTTTTCAGACCAGGCTGCCCATGATCGCGCTGCCGAAGTTGCCACAACTCCTGTCGCGGAACTTCCACCTATGGCGGCGGTGAGATCGACCGAAATCTCGGATGAGACCAGGCAGCAGATATCTCACATGATGAAAGAAGCTGGCTTTCGATCAAGCGTTCCGTCATCCGTATTGAAGGATATTCGCCCTAACGGTATGGAATCTCCTGGTGATGCGGCTGTCTTCGAGAAGCTCATGAAGGACATGGTCGAGATTGAGGAAAGCCCACCACATTCTCCAATATTTAATGGTTTTGGTTCCAGCCCGCCGGTCAGGAGATCACGACAGCCTTCAAGCTCTGCTCCACCACAATCAAGCTGGCAAACTGTCGATTCAGAAGAGGAATTCAGCTCGCCGGGCGGAAATCAAGTACAGGAAAGGGCCCAGGATATCTCGGAAGAAGAACTAGATGGGTATTCGGAAACGTTTGATCAATCAAATGCATCCCGAGGGCCCGTAAGACGCAATCCCGTGAAGAAACTCCATAAAGCCCAACCGGTCCAAAAAGCTAAGAGGATGTGGGAGATGCTTGCTGGTACAAAAAGTCGCGAGCCCAGTGCTGGCTCACTGGTGGAAAATGGAAATCAGTTGTCAGAAACGTCTGCACGAGCAGCAGACAGCAATGTAACCGTCCAATATCCAAAATTATCAGTGGGTTCGTCTTTCGCTAGCCAGATCAGCGACCATGGGCACCAACCTGATACGGTTTTTGATGATCGCTCAGCATTGGGTGCTGACGCTTCCAAGGCTACAACTGAGGAATCCTTGAATCAACAGGATGATGTGATGACCGATGGTGAGCCAGACCTGGCATCTCGCAAGCCCGTCGATCATAGTAAGGGTGTGCAACAGTCAGATGGCCCGTCGTCTGATATCGAATCAGATCCCCCACGTCAATTGATCAAGAAGTCGCCTGGAGCTGCACGCAAACGCTCGGAAGTAACAGAACATCGGCCTTCTTCGGATGATGAGTTCCCACCCCTTGAACAAGTCCTTTCGCAGCACGAGCCGAAGGTAGAGAAGACGACGACGGTGTCTTCCCACGTCCGAATCAAAGAGGATACAGAGTACGACAAAATCATGGCCTCTCTTGAGGAAGACCCGGGTGAAGAGTCTGATCAACTGACGCCCAAGGCGTCTCGGAATCGCACTATGATATCGCAACGTCCAGCATCTCAACCTAATCTAGAATCTCGCAAGTCTCTAGCACGCGATTCTGGACTTCGATCGTCTCAAACTCGAGTGTCCCAGAGCCAGCCTCAGAACTTCATTATTCCACAAGGTACTGAAGTTATGGATTTAACCTTGTCCAGCGACGTCGATGATGGTGACAATCACGTACCTAACAATCAGCAAGACGATGAGGAAGACGATGGACCCAAGTCCGCCGTTGCCGTTATGCGGAGGTTCAGAACTTATAAAGTGGCTGATGACGACGATGAAGATTTTAAGGACAGTGACGAGGATGACAGAAATGGCTGGGTGAAGAAGAAGGCGAGCAGTCAGAGCGTGACCCGGAGACATACTGGCACAGGACTGGGCACTTCTTCCCAGACTTCACTTAATTCAAGGAGCGTTAGGAGGAGAACTGCTCCCAGATTCTAATACTTAGATGGGCAATGGTGTTATTTGCTTTCAAAGCGAGGATACCCAAGTTGGCATGGGTTTGGGTTTTTGAGGACAATTTTCTCCAAGGGCTATTCATTTCATACGAGAGAAGACTAGGCTTACTGACCTTAGCTAATGGGCATTTGAGCGTGAATGAGCTCTTCACAGTGTATGAAAAACGTCTGAACCTTCCAGCCCCGTCCTGTGCCTTTGATTTCTCATGATCTTCTGAGCCAACGGAGCGATGCAATCTCCCGTGTCGCATATTTATTTTGAGAAATTCCACCCCTCCATAAGAGTATCCCCATCGCATTCATTTCATCTAGTCCAGTTTTTCAATGTTTTTGGTTGTCGTTTGCATGAGGATATATAGTCGTCGAGTTTAAAGTTGAATGCCTTCTGGTCAGTGTGGCCGAACGTCCATCAATCAGTATTGTTTGGCGTACGTAGTTTCTTACCTTGTTTCAGGTCAATTTGAAACACGCCTCGCTATTCGTCGGCAGCAACAACGCAGTTGTATCCTCAGCCTTCCAAGATATTCATTCTTCCTCTCTCTCTTCAAGTCTTCGAGTCGCAAATCGATTCTCCCAGTCGATTCATGAATCTCATTCACTCAATGAAGTTGTCTAATGGCATGCTCCGCTTCATTGTCTACGGATTGTCCAGAGAATCGGTGTGGTCGCTATTGATTATTCACATCATGCAAGTGCAGGATACTTCCATTTACCTACTATATCTACCAAGTTCCCCGCACAACACTTTCCTTCTTCCCCAATCTCAAAGAGCATATCTCCAAGTCTTCCCGCACTTCAAACTCGGTACATAATCAGAGATACACATGTTAAGACAAGCATTCTTCATTATTACCAAGGCTCCCCCAACCAATTAGCGATTTGCACGTGCGGTCGAGAAAAGAGGAAGACCTGCATCACGTTATCTGCATCATACATCTTCTTAATCCACCCAGCCAGCCATCAGAATCGCCTCTCCATTCGCTATCTCACGATCTCAAAAAAGTCTCAAAGTCTTCTCGCAATGAGGCAATTCTCCCCGTCCCTCCTCTTCCTGATCCTCCTTGCCCCGCTCACGCGGGCCTCCAAAACGCCCGTGCTCTCCACCGCCTCCGCCTCAGCCTCGCCAGCCTCATCCCCCACAACTCCCTCACCGCAAGTGGGAACCATCACCGCCCCGCCGTCGTTGGAGGACGTCAATTTCCAGCAGAAATGGCATCAGACAACGTATTGGTCCTGCGTCACAATTCATACGCAGGTGCATTGTGGATGGCATGAGCCCGTGCTGCCGGGCGGTGATGAGATCGCGGGTGCGCCGAGGGCGGTGTGTGGGAAAGGAGTTGGGGTGGCGGTAGGTGTGGCGGTGGTTGGTGGGTTGTTGATGTGAGGGGAAAGGCGTGTTGTCTTTGGGGGAGGGGAGGGATTTGGGAAGATCTTTTTTTAGGTAGGGGAGGGGAAGGGAAGGGAGGGATTCAGCTGCGGTCATGATGATATGATGATACTATGAGATATGGGGCGGACTGCCTGTCTATTTTCGAGGGCGGGCGTTGGGGGAAATGGGGATGGGCTATCTGGGTTCTTGGCGTTTCTATACCTATATGGGTGCTTGGAGTCGGTGGTATAGGGCCAGTAAGTGGGCTCCAGCAGCTATGGATCTTATGGTACATCTATAAAATCTAATGGATTTACCCTTAATCTAGGGGCTACGATACAGGGGGTGATTGATGTGGAGGGGGACTACGAGGATATGAATTATGAGGTTGGCAGAAATTTTGCATAGCGTCTGTCACATCCTCCGGGTTATCAATTTTTGTTCCATTGAAGCTATCGTCAATAGATAACAATTTTCCACTCATATATTGAGAGATTTAGTCGGCCCATAGGCATATAGGTTCCAGCACTTGGACACCTTCCTACCTCGCTTGAGACTTTCAGCTCTTTAACCCTTCTCATGACCTCATAATAAGAGATAACTGAATCGGAACCTTGTGAGGATAAAATGGGCCTTCTTGCAACTCAGCAGCCTTTATACCGAATTCGAGATTTTCAACCTTGTACTTGTTCATCCGGCAGGCTTCCAGAAAAGACTCGAAGGTCTTCTGATTCCGTATCGTGGCGGCAATGATAATCTTGATATTCGGGTATAACTCGAAGAGATCTCCGAATGTCGATACCAAGGCCGGAATTACAGATGCATCATAGGTAACGTCGGCTCCAAGAATGAGATCGATATTCCGCCCTCCATTCCATTCAGGGTGCTCTCCACCCATTAAAGCTTGGCCCCATTTGAGTTCCTTTCCCTCGATCATCGATATATCCTGGAGCTCGTTCAGGTAGAAGTTGTCCGATAGACTGGCAACAACATCATCTGAACCATCTGTCGCAATCACGTGAGAAGCCCCCAAGTGGCGCGCACAGAGAATGGATACATATCCCGTCCCCGCTCCCAATTCAAGAATGGACTTCCCCTGAACGAGACCCTGAGCGTTAGCGCAGAGATATTCGCCGAGATGAAGGGCAGCCTCCCAAGTCCTGAGGCCGGTAGTCCCAGCTGCGGCTACGAGATTTCTCGATTCAAGGAGGGAGATCCAGGGGGGTTCCTGATCTTTGGAACCGAGCGAAGCAAGAGTATACGTAACGTACGACTTTTGCTGTGCTGAAGTTGCTTCAGGAGGAACAGACGATGAAAGCAAAGAGGACAGACAGTTCATTATATCATCAGAAATACCCTGGAGAAGGAAACGGTCAGAACAGTGTGGAAGGTGACTTGAATCCGCTGCTCCCAGGAAGACGGGAAGATTTCAAAAGGGAACGACATACTTCTTCGTCCCAGTCTTGAATACTCTCCTCAATCTTCTTGGTGAGCTTCTTCAAGACGCGTAGCCGGTACCTGGTAGGTGGTGAGGGAGCGACTCCGTCTTTGAATGCTCTAGCATAGAGAGCCTGTTGAAAGCCATCATTCCGTAGATGCTCTGGATCAGGGTAGTCAAGGTCGGGCTCAACTTGAAGATATTGGCGGCAGAAACGGTCGAGTTGACGTCTCGCACTTGGCGACAATTGACTGTTCATTACCCTTACCACGCATAGGACGACTGATATCTTGGAGGAGCAGAGGCTGAAGGAGGCTGAAACGGGGATTCTGGTCACGTTTTCCCGTGCTTTTTGATCTTCCTAAGATTTAAGGTTGTAAGGCCGTAATATTTTAAGCCTCTATGGAGCCCTCAGGCACCCACATAGGGTTCTCGCCCTTGCCCGCATCCACAAAATTTTGCGATCTCGCTTATTCGTCCTATCCGATATTAGCGCTTGTTGATATCGAGACTTTCACGATTCGGATTCCAAATTCTATCGACAGCGACCTTCATCGACCAACTCCCTTCCGACATTCTGTCTCGATAATCCATCGTAGGCAGACTTCCGGTTCGATCACCCTCAATCCTTCAAGATGGCGGACCGTGAGCAACCAGTCACGCTGCGAACGCGCAAGTTCATTCGCAACCCCCTCCTCGGCCGCAAGCAAATGGTCGTGTAAGTTTCCTACCGAATCCACGACGAGTACGCCGGACATGAGAGCAGAGAGAATTGAGAGCACGGTTATGAATTGAGGGATGAGAATCTGATTGAGTTCATAGTGATATCCTCCACCCCAACCGCGCCAATGTCTCCAAGGACGAGCTCCGGGGCAAGCTTGCCGAACTCTACAAGGCCAACAAGGACCAGGTCAACGTTTTCGGTCTCCAGACTCAATTCGGTGGTGGAAAGACAACCGGCTTCGCGCTGATCTACGACTCACCGGAAGCACTGAAGAAGTTCGAGCCCCACTACAGATTGGTTCGCATTGGGGCTGCCACAAAGGTCGAGAAGCCCAGCAGACAACAGCGTATGTGGACCCTTTGCCTGTGGACTGCAGGATATCTGGGTTTGGAAGTCATACTGATTTGATGGGATATAGGCAAGCAACGCAAGAACAGACAAAAGACTCTCCGGGGTACGGCAAAGGTCAAGGGTGCAAGCAAGAAGAAGGAGAAATAGACGACTCGTTTCCTGGTGTATGTGGGAGATGGAGGCAAATGGTGTTTGCTGGTATATGGGGATGGGCTTTTGTACACATTCGCATTGGCTCTCCATCATATCTGCATAGGTGTCATGGGAACGAAATTTGGGCATAATGGAATGCTGCAATCGAATCTCCCTTTGGACCTCTACATTTCAATCAAGGTTTTTGCTTTCCAGGAATCATGTATGTCTGGATTGGTGATATGTGAAGGCTGTGCAACCAGTTTGCCCTATTCAGTCCAGCCAAAGATGTGGAAGACTATCCGGACATCATCGAGCCACGAGGCGCCCTTGTCGCAGCACACGCAAATGAGGGTGTACTCCTCTCCTGGAAGTCTCCGGAGAATGTTATATTCAAATGAAAGTTCATTTCGCAATTTTCCAATCAGTGGCAAAACTAACAAAGCCATAATTTGCTCCATCCCCCCCCAGTACCATCAATCGACTCGTACAAATGATGATGAAGCTCTTGCAAAGGATTGTCTATCGCTCGATGGCCCTGCCACTAAAGTATATTCTCTTTGAGCGAGGCGTCAGGCGTCCAAGAAACCTGTTCTAAAGCCTTCGCAACATCCGACTAATTCTCCAGAGCCCTTCTTGGTTTCTGGCTCAGCTTCAGAAAGTCTTCGCCACTGGTGCAGACTGATTCCATCATCTCTAATACTTGTTGGAAGGTGTTTACCTCGATGTCCTGAATGCATTAGATTCATTTTCTCAAGATCCTCTTTCGAGCATAAGTGGCGTATATTCTCTGCAGCTTTTGAATCCTCTACGGGGTTATTCAACCTTGTGAGCGTAACATTGTTTGATTTCTTGAACGAAGTTAATCTTTGTGGACATGGATATGAGATATGTGGGTTGGTCAGCGCCGAGTAGGCAGTCTGGGTGAGGTTGGGTGGTAATGTTGATGATGGTTCCAGTGGAATGGATCATTGTTTCATGATATTCAGAGCAATGCCATGGAGAGGATCATATTCTAGAATCATATCACAATCAAACCACCACAATTTCAGGATAGAAAACTGTCAAAGTTCTCTAGGCTAACTTTTGTTTCCTTTTAGCTTTTCATAACCAGCCATTTCTACCAATACTGTCTACATCACCCCCTACCACCGCCCATTCTGAGTACAATGTTCCTTTCCTTTCCATTCCCTCCCTGTACTCTCTCACCCAACATCTCCCCACATCTCCCCAAAATCCCCAACTCCCGTCTATACTCCCACAACCTCCACCAATTCCCCATCTCCTGCCTTCCATCCCCAAGCTGCTTCCTGACCCGCCCCTCAAACCCCTCAATCTCCCTCGTCAACCGCTCCCGACATCTCATCGTATCTTCCGCAAACCAGTACTCTAGCTCTCGGAGTCTTTCTTCCACTTTACTAATCAGGACCGCACAATTGCAATTGAGTGAGAGGTCGCCACTGAGACTTAGCTTTGCTTGGAGCAAAGCTGTCAGTTCCCCTTCGGCTCGTGCGAAGAGAGAGATGTACCATAGTTCTAGCTCCTCGGCGCTTGTGAACCCGGAGATGGGGCGTTGGGGTGTGGTTTGTTGTTGTTGCGGGGGACGAGCGGTTTGTGGGGATGCCTCTTCTTCTTCTGGGGATTTGGAAGACATGTTGAATTCGGGAAGTTTGGGGGAGTGCAGAGGGAAGATTATCCTGTGGTATGTTGGGGGGGCGGGGGAGGGGGAGGAATGAGCTGTTTCAGAAGATTAACGGACTGCTTATTTGCTTGCTCATATAGCGGGAATTGTCAAAGAAATCATCGTGCATGGAAAGTCTCTTGTAAGTACGGGAAGGGAGGTATCATGTAAGAACCCGAATACGCAAGCTGCATATTATTCCTAGATTAATTGATGCGGTGAGCGGGCTGTTTGGTGAGGTAAGAGGGAAGGGGTAGATTAGAATTGGATAATAACAACGGAGGGGGGATTTGTGAGAAATAATCAATTATATATAATGTGGTCTTGGATTAGGTACAACATGGTGGTTTGAAGATATGGTTAGGTTGGATCAAAAGGAGTTTGCAATAAGTAGGTAGGATTTGATATATATATGTTCGTCAAATGTTTGAGTAGATTGTAGCTCTTGCTTTCCATTATTATAGTTGGCACTTATATGAGTATAAAATAGGTAGGGGAAATGGAATAGAAGACTTCCGACAGCAGATATAGGTCAACACATCTCCAACACCTAATAGTCTCAGGAAAGCCTCGCCTGCTTTGGACCAAGGGGGGAATCTCTACCATAGACTAAACAGTGCTTCATGTTCTTCATTATTTGTTCACTTCCGGCCATGTACCACTCTATTGCATATATATAACCCTGCTCCCAAGATATAGTTTATTAACATAGAAGGATAAAGCGCTTTCCAACTCAACATAAAAACCTCAAAAATCAATAACGATCCGCCCCACCCCCCTCGAAACACAACTCAACATCGCAACCCTCTTATCCTCCTGCCCCAGCGCACTCCCCCTATGTTCCACCTTCCCAGCGCAAACCTCCACTCTACACGTGCCACAATTGCCCGTCTCACAACTAGAATCTATATCCAACCCCGCACTTCTTAACGTTTCCAATAATGTCGTTTGCCCGCCTACCTCCAGCACTTGTTTGGATCGCTTCAGCTCGACCGTGAAGGGATCGCCCGAGGTCGCTATCTGGAAAGCTTCGTAATGGATCTCGTCCTGGGCCATTCCACACGCGTTGGAAGCTCGCACTGCGTCGTCTATCATGCGCTGTGGTCCACAGACATAGATACTGCTATTCCATTTCCGCCCCGCGAGGATCCGAGGGATATCCATCCGCTGCCCCATCTCGGCATCATAGATCCTAACGCGGTCTCCGAATTTCCGAAGCTGGGACTTGAAGGGGATATCATGTGCGGAGCGCACCGCGTAGTGCAGCTCCATGTTGTAGTTGATCTGGTTGTACATATCCATGTGCGCCAGGAAGGCAGTGATCCCGATGCCGCCAGCGATGAAGATGTGGTTTGAGGCTCCTTCTTTGATGGGCACGCTGGGAGTTATTTTCCCCACGAGGAGCTTGTCGCCTGTCTTCAGGCTGTGGTAAAGGTAGTGAGAGCCGCCTCGACTCTCATCCTCGAGTGCGATGCCGAGTTCGAAACGGTGGGTGTTGCCTCCAACGATGGAGTAGGGTCTAATAAGACCATTCGGAAGCTTTAATCTCACAAAGCAGCCAGGATCGAGTTTCTCTCCCTCGCCCTCGCCCTCGCTCTCCTTCTTCAGAACAAGAGAGATGATCCTGTTCGTCTGTGCTTCCTTCTCTACGACTTCGAACTCCTCCCATTTCTCTGGCTCCTTGGCTTTCTGACTGTTTTCCATTTCTTGTCTCAAACTCGCAATCATAGACTTGAATGCACGTTTACACTCGTTCCCAAACTCATCTATCCTTTGCAGCTCCTCCAGCTTCCCCAGGTTCTTCGTATCGCGGTGAAGGTACTCCTGGATCCGCTCGATCGTCCACTCAGGATATTTCCTTTCCACAAGCACCATCGAATCGCCCACCTGCATCCAGCCTTCCCGAAGCACGCGGTAGTACCACCCCGTGCGGCTCTTCTTCCACGTCTGGGCCGCAAAGCCCTTGATCCCAAAACGATGATTGAGTTTGAAGCACGGTTGCCGCGGCAGGCTCACTTGCAAATACACGCCGTCCCTTTCAGCGCCCACCCGGAAGATGTCGCCAATGCAGACATTGCGCTCGTTCATGCCGCCCGAGCACACGAGATTCTCCCCAAACCCGCCGATTTCGAAGGCCTCTCGCCGCGCTGGAAATTCAGAGGCCCAGGAGGCGTAGTGCGCCGGGAAGTACTGGTGCACGGCTTTGTCGACGCCGCCGTGGAATGTGAGATCATGCTCGTCGCTCTCGAGGCCCGTGAAGGAGCAGAAAACGCGGTCGCTGCGCGGCTGCTTGTAGATGCCAGTGCTGATTGAGAGGTCCCGCATCGTTTTCATTTTGGAGGTGCGCAATTGTACGATTTTGGGATCCTGAAATGGTGCGTTGAGATCTGGAGGGAGGATTGGTGCCATGATGAAATGAATTTATTACTTCTGAATTGATTAGGGATTGATGTTGACAAGAGAGGGATGGATCGAGGACAGATATAGCTTCGCAAAGAAATAGGGGGAATTTCACGTGAGAAGAGGGGGTAAGGAGGGGCGCGGGGTATATAGGTAAATAGATTCCAAAAAGCGATAATTTAGAGTCGAGAGGGGTTGCAAAATTCTTGCGAGCAAAGCGGCAAGGATGCCAAAAGCACAACAATACAGAATGGCAGCGAAGAAATGAAGGGGATATGAAGTGCAGCAATGCAAGCAGAGTGAGTCGGAAAAGCCCCAGTATCGTGCAAGCTTATAAAAGAGAAATCAAAGAGGTAAAGGAGTGGGATGGTAGAAATAGCGCAAAGCGTTGATTAGACGCTAGACGCCAGACGCGAAAAGGCAAATCAGCCGCAGGAGATAAGCGGATTGGTTCCTGGACATCTTACCTACCTCTTTGCCTTTGTCGCGAAGTATTGATTGCCACCAGATAGCCTCACTGGATAGGGCTAAGCAGAGACATGAATTTGTAGTTACTGCACCCAGCAAATGCTGGGGAACTCAAAACACCGCGAGGCGGCCCAGCATTTTCCACGACTCCACGACACCACGACATTCGAAATCCCTGGGAATCTGGAACTGAACATATAAATCGTGCTCCATTGGACTGTCATCACTCCCCACAATACCCGCTCGACCTCCATGATAAATACACAGGATTCCTCCATGCCCCAACCCCTAAAGATATCGCATGGTAATAAACAGATGAGAAGTTTCTTGTGATGACCCCTACTCCAATCCCGCCTGTCGCCCTGAAGCCGAGCGCACTGCGAGGCAGCAGGTAAAACAGGTATTAGGTGCGTCCATTGCAGCAATAAAGACGTAACAAAAGAAATGGTGGGTAATTGACACCCTATAAGTCCTATCCAATCGCACAAAACAAAACAAATTGATGTAATAAGGAAATTTTGGTCGAGACAATCGAGTCGGCTCTTTTCTAATCATTTGAAACTTAAAACTTGAAACTTGACTCCTTTCGCATGAACAGTGAACGAACGCGCTAGAAGCTGAGGTGGTATGATCCGATGAAACGCCGTGAGGTATGAACGAAAACGCCGGAAACTAAGAATGGCACTCGCGGAGCTGCCTATGGTCATTCTGCACCAATCTCTCCCTCTATGAAACCAGACGTATCGAAGCTGAAGTTGTCAACACCTCCTTCTCCATCTTGGTGTAAGAATGAATCGAAGTCAAAATCGTGGAGGACATCAGTGTTGCCACTGATTGGGTTAGCAAAATCGAATGAGTGCAAGTCGAACTATATAGCGTTAGCATCCAAGTTGACCCCTAGGGAAGATCTCTAATTACCCCTGTGCCATTATCCATAACATATCCATTTTGCAGAGGATCCGGTTGCTCGGAGGTATTGACACCGCCATTCATCGGAGGAGCGGCAGGTTGACCGTTCGCGATAGGTTGCGGAGCACCGTTCTGAGCGTTCTGAGCGCTCTGGCCGTTCTGGGGGTTCTGGCCATTCTGGCCGTTCTGACCGTTCTTAAAACTATTCGGGTGGATGGGGGTGATCGGAGTCGCAGGCGTCGGCGTCGCGGGTTCTTGAGCGGAGTCGGCGGATGGTGTAGCACCAGCATTAGCATTCGCGGCGGTTCCCTTCTTTGCAGCCCGCTGTCATCAATGTCAACATTTCTACAAAAGTATGCATAACACAAAGAAGTTTACCTTAGCTTTTGTGTCCTTAGTCTCAGCTTTCTTCTTAGGATTGGCCTTATTCGCCTGTTGAGGTGTCGGTGGGGCAGCGCCCTGTTGCGGCGACGAGGGTTGGGTTCGACCGTTAGTTGTAGCCCCAGCTACGGGAGCGGCGGGAGGTGGCATCTGTCGTTGTTGTGGTGTTCCTGGGCCACCCATGTTTTGCTGAGGAGCTCCTGGATTAGGTCCTGGCATCATTTGGCCATTTTGACCTCCTTGCCAGTTCGCATTAGCAACTTGTTGTTGTCGAGCCATTGCTACTTGCTGAGGGGTCAACTGGTTGGGAAAACCCCCTGGATGTGAGCTAGGAGGTCGCATGTTGTTTTGCATATTGCCAACCATGTTGGGGTCCATGCCATTCATCTTGAAATACGGAGCCGTCATATTCGGATCCATCTGTCCACCAGGCATGTTGAAGGTCATGCCACTGGGCGATCCCCGAGATTGACCCTCTGGCAGGGGAGATGGCATTCCAGCAGAATTCATATGCGGTGTTCCTCGCTTTATCTGCTCGGCCGGGTTGGGCGAATTTACAGAACGAGCTCCCTGTGGCGACGTTCCTTGGAAGGGCTGTCCGTTAGGACCCATCGCACCAGGGGCAGCACCATCACGACCTCCGGGTGCGGTCTCCTGCTCCTGGCGTGCCATCATGAGCCTCTTCTTGTTTTGCTGCTCGAGCAGCATAAGCTGCATCTGATAATCTTGAAGAGCATGATTGCCGCCAGTTCCACCAGGTTGGGCACCCGGTTGACCCGTACCCCGCATTCCGTTAGCCATCTCACCAGCATTGTAATACCCAGCGATTGCGCCCGTATCCTGTCCCTGGGACATCATAGGTGATCCTTGATTCGCAGAACCACCCTGAGTCGGCATACCTTTACCTGGCATTTGGTTTGCTTGTTGCTGTGCTAATCCCGCTTGGTATTGGGTCAAGGTTCTCGCTTGTTGTGCGTTCGCGCCGCCCGGCATGTTCTGGAACTGCTCAGCTGTTAGATTATTTGATTCGACGCCATTGTTAAGCTGCATATGAGCCGCTTGAATAGCATTGCTGGGGCCAGAATTTCCCACCTGTTGGGGCATTGGTTGTCCTCTTCCATTCGGCATTTGTTGCGGGTTGAAGCCGTTGCCTCCACCATCAAGTCGCGGTCGTTTCGAGGGGGATGGGGCATTTTCGGCCGATCCAGGGGAGCCTGACCGTTGCTGATGATCGCCCCCGGATGGATCGCGCTGCATCGCGTTCTTTTGCTGTAGCATTTGAATTTGCTGCGGGGTTCTACAGCATATCAGTTAGGATACTGAAGGAATGCCGCTCCTCAAGTACTCACTGGTTCCGGTTATTCTGAAGCGCTTTTTGCCTCAGGTCATTGTTCTGTTGATTCAGGTTCATTCCGTTCTGCTGATTCATTCGCATCATCTGCTGGTACTGGGGCATCATTTCGCCTGTCCTCGTCCCGCGAAGCAAATGTTGCTGATGTTCTTGTCTTAGCCGTGACTGTGCCTGATTAAGAGGTCAGCATTTGATCACACCACACCAATGGAGTACAAACCTGCGTATGGTTGACGTATTGCAAGACGTTTCGCCCATCTCCTTTTCCACGTTGAGCATTGAACATATCCCAGAAAAGGCACCACCACTCGTAGAGGAAGCAGCTTTCGGGACATTCTCGAGGCACGTCTGGTGCTGGCAGATCATCAATTCCTTTTGAATCGATATTGTCTTTTGAATCGCCATCTCCACCATCGTCGCCTGTTCCATTTCCCATGCCATTGCCGTTCTCATCGCGACGCCTTCCGGGGCTCTCCTTGATAATTTTTATTGGCTGTTCGCTGTTGAGTAGTGACCTCGCGCAATCATACATGCCATTCCTCAGAAAGTATTCGTAGATGTATGTATTCAGCTGCTGGCGCTGATTGTCATTTACGGGCATTGGTTGTCGGATATTCCCACCGGGCACCCCGTTATTCATCATTGGCATGCCACCGCCGCCGACGGGACCGCCGCCCATGGCATTCATGCCACCCATATTAACGTTGTTCATCGTCGCTACTGTTGACGCTCGTGAATTATCTGGCCCTCCGATGCTGTACCGTGCAGCCCAAGGTCGTGGAAAGCCTCTCCGTCAGCCACCACGCCTCAGACGCGGAGCAGTTAAAGCCGAATTGTCGCAACGACAGATTTTCTCCAAACCGACGAAACTTCACCGCAAAGAGATCGGACGTCCCAGATGATCGTAGGGAGGAAGACGGAGACCGCTGCACCGGGGCAAAAATTGGTAATCGATGACCGTGGCCCGAAGTGACGACCCTTTTGGCGGAGAGCAGTGAGAAGATGCGATAGGCGCGTTCAAGGAGACAAGCGAGGGAGTCGAGCAGACCAAGTCGAGACGGGGGGGGGCGAAGTCGACGATATGCTCTCACAGGAGAGATCTGGACCTCGCAGATCGAGGCAGAGTGGTATCGATGCCGGGAGGGATTTTGGGGGGGGGGATAGGTTGGTGTTGTCGGACGGAACCCAGATGGGGGTGGACGGGCGGACGCTACGGCTGCACCGTCTCTGCGTTTATCTCAGCACGAAGCTCCGTGGCAGAGACAAGGCTGGTCAAGCATTTGGCGACTGGGGAGGAGACTGGCCAGGACGCCACCACAGACTGTTGACTGGGATATAGCAACGAACACCACCAGAATGAAGATGCACTGGGCAGGGCGAAGTGAAAATGTGAGGTTTGGATAAAGCAAAGGGGATTGCGGGATATGAGGGCAGGACATCAGAGGGAGGGAAAAAAGTGGCAGCAGGTGTTGAATACAAACCTGGCGAGCGTATTTCTGGTCCTGTTAGGCCGAAGGCGGGCTAGCGTACATGCTGCTTTACAAATACTGGTACAGTAACGGCCGATATTCGATATTTCGAGATTCGATATCGCCAGACGAGAGCGGAGCGCGCGTCGTCCACGTCGCGGGTCTGATATTTACGCGCACATGGACGGGATTAGACATTTTACAGGCTATAAATTCATGTATCAAAACCGCCACCTGCGCCTGTGTATTATGAGGGAGGCGAAAGATTAAGGTATCTTGGCCGTAATTCCTGATACTCCTCCGCTAAAGTGGCGAATATTTACAACGTGTGACACCACAATCGAAACATACCACCCCAACGCTCCGTTCCTGTCCTGGGTCTCCTTTACAATCATACTGTTCAATTCTATTGTCTTAGATCGGTCAAGGAATGTGAGTACAGATTTTGTTGTGGCGTCTCCCCGACCAATTTACCACCGCGCTGGATAAGGGGCGTGCATATCACGTGATATCAACCGAACTGCACGTCCCAGGGGCATGCGATTACCCCTTTCTGAGTGGTGATCGTGGTAAAGGAGTATGTATAACTATGTCCGCAGAAAAATCTGTCAGCATGGATGTGCTCTGTAATTAAGATGAATGTGCCTGTTGTTGCGTTTAGGGCTTGTAACTCTTATGGCTGGGAAGTCATCTTGAACGAGAAGTCGCTGAATGGCTAAACAAATCTACAAGATCCCTATACGCGTACCTAAAAAGAGAGGCAAGATAGAAAAGAAAAAGAAAAAGACACAACCCCTCAAAAAGTACCAAAATAGGAGAAGCAGAGAATAAAATAGCAAAAGAGTTGGGCTCGACCAACCGCCCTAGGGCGATTGACGTACTTATGTCTCTATATGACTACCCAGGGTTTATCTTTTAAATCCTGGGCAGTCAGCTGTCCGGGTAGCCGTCCACTGCACCGACTTTATAACGGTGCAGTGGATTTGTCTTGGGCAGTCACTCAACATAGGTGAGTGTTTATATTAGCTACCCGGGCAGCTACCCACTGCACCAAACTATGGTGCAGTGGATATTCGAAAACTTCTTATTCAATATGGTAAAGGTGGGAAAGAGAAAGTGAATAAAGTGAATACCACGTGAGGTTCCAATTTGGGGAGTTTTTTTTT